TTGGACTTTGAAGAAACCCCCCCAGCAGTTTGGTCGGTCAGTGCGTTCCAAAGTAATATCTAAGTCCTGGTGGACTGATCTAAGACATTAGATATCGAAACAGCACCCAAAAAACATCCAGAGAAACAATAAAGGAATTTACGAATATTTGTTTTTTCACGTTGCAGTTTTGCCAATTTGTCCCGTTGTATGTGGACCGTTTCGCGCCACCTTTGAATCTCGGTAGCGGTGCGCCCGGTATGGATGGTACGGATGCACTCCCACATTGTGTAATCGGTTGTTCTATGTGTTGGGGCGTGAGACATAATCGGAAAGGGAATTAAATAAATGTTGTGCGTAAGAAAAGACAAGAACACATAAACATATTACGCACACAACAAGGCAAACCTTCTACGGGACAAAACCCCTATCCCATTCCTATCGATGCGAAGTAAGTTTTTACGAATTAATGTGGTTCAACCAGCGCCTCAAACCCCCATTTACTAAAGCTGCATTCTCTTACAGCAAAGGCGATATTTTAAGAAAATAAGAACCATTTCAAATCTTAAAAAAGATAATTGAGTTATTATTTTTCACTTTAAGTTTTCCTTGAGAGGTCAGGTTAGGTATTAGCCGACGAGCAGCCGAGGCATATTAATGTAATTACATAACAAGAACAACCTCTAATTTAATTTACGTTATGGGAATGGTATGTTATGAGTACATAAGCTTTATTGTAATCTGAATACACATACATACACATTTAAAATCTTTAAAAACTTAATGTATTAAATGATGCTGTTTGAAGTGGCATTTTTTATTTGTTCCATAATCACATCTGCACATTTAAAATTCTTGGAAACTTTATGTTTTAAAAGATGTTGTTTGAAGTGGTATTTATAATTTGTCCCATACTCACAAGTAGCACATTTAAAATTCTTAGAAGCCTTATGTTTCATAAGATGTCGTTTGAAGAGATGTTTATTATTTGTTCCATAATCACAATTACCACATTTAAAATCCTTAGAAACTTTATGTATTAAAAGATGTTGTTTGAAGGCGCTTTTTACGTTTGTATTATAATCACAAACATCACATTTAAAAGTCTCAGAACCACTATGTTTCAAAAGGTGTTGTTTGAAGTGGTATTTATAATTTGTTTCATAATCACAAGTAGCACATTTAAAGTTCTTGGATACTTTATGTTTCAGAAGATGTCGCTTGAAAGTGCTTTTAACATTTGTCCCATAATCACAATCAGCACATATGAAATCCTTAGCAACTTTATGCTTTAAAAGGTGTTGTTTAAGAAAAAATTTGCGATATGTTCCATAATCACAAATAGCACATTTAAAATCCTTGGAAATTTTATGATTTAAAAGATGTTCTTTGAAGAAGTGTTTATCATTTGTCCCGTAACCACAAGTAGCACATTTAAAATCCTTAGAAACTTTGTGTATTAAAAGATGTCGTTTGAAGGCGCCCTTAACATTTGTCTCATAATCACAATGAGCACATTTAACCTCTTTAGAAACTTTATGTTTTAAAAGATGCCGTTTGAAGTTGCTTTTGTGATTTGTCCCATAATGACAATCCGCACATTTAAAATCCTTGGACACTTTATGTAATAAAATATGTTGTTTGAAGCTGCCTTTAACATTAGTCCCATAATCACAATCAGCACATTTAAAATCTTTACAGTCTGTTTTACAATGAGTTAAAAGTTGACAATGAAAGTCAGAATGTTGCTGTAATTCTTCATTATTAGGAGATTTAGAACACTGTGTACTAATAGTAATTTCGTCCTTTATTGTCACCAAAGCTTCGTTGCTTACCGAAATGCGCCCCTGAAGAAAGGAGTGGATTTCTTCTTCTTTTTTTGGTTCGATTTTAATGAGGAGTGTGTTATTATCTTCATCCATACCATACCTAACAACAATAATGTTATAAATAAAAGTATTTTGGTTTATCAAAAATCTATTCAGATATTAAAACAATAGAGGGCGAGGTCACGATAAAAAAGGGAGTGTCTAGTGCACTGTCTACATCAGTGTTTCTGAAACTTTTTCTGTGGTGGTACATTAATCGTATAATGTTTTGGACGGGAGTAAAATAATCGACGTAAGGAAATGTCGGCGAGTGTAAAGTTGTACGAGTGCGCTAGAAATTGAAAGATCAATTGTGATCTGTAACAAGCACCGAGGTGGAATTGCGAAGATCTTCTTGAGAGACGAGGGAGCGACACAATGAAGATTACTACTATGCGATCAAAATTGAATTGCTGTCGAGTCATCTTTGGAGTTTTTGTGTACATGGGAAATCGTACTTAACTTGAACTTCCAAAGGCGACTCGACAAATAAAATGAAATATAACAGTTTAGGTAGAATTATTTTTGAAGGGTTCCGGTTGCAGTTTTTTTTCGGATTTGAAAGGTTCCAAAATAAATAAACTCACTGTTATTGATTAATTTAGACAGTAAAATATTTTATATTTGTACTTCAGAAGTAAATTTTAAGAGAAAAAATATAAGACACATTTCCCTCTCACAAAGCGCAACGTGTTTACTCTACCTACAACAGAGAGAGAATCGAAAAATACCGATATCGGTTCCGGTTGTCATTTCAAATAACGGTTTCGGTTCCAAGTAAAGGACTTATAAATGCAATCGGTTCCGGTTCCGTTTTTTTCGGTACCTGTTCCAACCACTGGACTGAATATTAGTTTCGTGTCAACCTTTTGCTCAGCCGGTGAAAATATCTATCGAATCCCATCGATGCTGTATATGATATTTCCAAATTTCATTTAGGGACCCCGTTTTTGGTATTGTTCACACAAAAATGTATGCCGGTCCACGTGAAATCCAAGGTCTCCTAACTTTCTCGAGATGAGCACCGCGTTAACTTTTCTGAAAAGTATTTACATTTAATACGCCTCTGTGCCTCAATTAACTTTTACTTTATCAAAAGAAAATAGTTTCGTTTCTTCCGCAACTGCAGACTGTAGACTATAAACTGTAGACTGTAAACTGTAGACTATATACCGTAAACTGTAGACCGTGGACTGTAGACCGTGGACTGTAAACCGTGGACTGTAAACTGTGAACTGTAAACTGTAGACTGTAAACTGTAGACTGTAAACTGTAGACTGTAAACTGTAAACTGTAGACTGTAAACTGTAGACTGTAAACTGTAGACTGTAAACTGTAGACTGTAAACTGTAGACTGTAAACTGTAGACTGTAAACTGTAGACTGTAAACTGTAGACTGTAAACTGTAAACTGTAGACTGTAAACTGTAGACTGTAAACTGTAGACTGTAAACTGTAGACTGTAAACTGTAGACTGTAAACTGTAGACTGTAAACTGTAGACTGTAAACTGTAGACTGTAAACTGTAGACTGTAGACTGTAGACTGTACTGTAGACTGTAAATTGTAGACTGTAAACTGTAGACTGTAAACTGTAGACTGTAAACTGTAGACTGTAAACTGTAGACTGTAAACTGTAGACTGTAAACTGTAGACTGTAAACTGTAGACTGTAAACTGTAGACTGTAGACTGTAACTGTAGACTGTAACTGTAAACTGTAGACTGTAAACTGTAGACTGTAAACTGTAGACTGTAAACTGTAGACTGTAAACTGTAGACTGTAAACTGTAGACTGTAAACTGTAGACTGTAAACTGTACTGTAAACTGTGGACTGTAAACTGTAGACTGTAAACTGTAGACTGTAAACTGTAGACTGTAAACTGTAGACTGTAACTGTAAACTGTAGACTGTAAACTGTAGACTGTAAACTGTAGACTGTAAACTGTAGACTGTAAACTGTAGACTGTAAACTGTAGACTGTAAACTGTAGACTGTAATCTGTAGACTGTAGACTGTAAACTGTAGACTGTAGACCGTAAACTGTGGACTGTAAACTGTGGACTGTAAACTGGGGACTGTAAACTGTGGACTGGACACTGTAGAATGCAAACTGTGGAATGCAAACTGTGGACTGTAAACTGTGGACTGTAAACTGTGGACTGTAAACTGTGGACTGTAAACTGTGGACTGTAAACTGTGGACTGTAAACTGTAGACTGTAAACTGTAGACTGTGGAATGCGAACTGTGGACTGTAAACTGTGGACTGTAAACTGTAGGCTGTAAACTGTGGACTGTAACTGTGGACTGTAAACTGTAGACTGTAGACCGTAAACTGTAGACCGTAAACTGTAGACCGTAAACTGTAGACCGTAAACTGTGGACCGTAAACTGTGGACCGTAAACTGTGGATCGTAAACTGTAGACCGTAAACTGTAAAATGCTGTTGTGAATATGGAATATGCACTCATATACAGGGTGTATAAACGGTTTACGCACCATAAGGATTTCAATACTAATTACTTTAGGTATATCGAATTATTTTCTGCCCTATTTAATTTTGAGCAACGTTGTAAATAGGTTTCTTGTAGCTTGTAATTCTGCGTTTGCTCATGTTTTCATTTATTATTTTTCAATTCGGGAAAATTAAGCAAATTAGGATTTCGCATTTTCGAGTACGCTGCATGGACGAATTTTTGTTTCAATAATTTCGCTTGTTGTAGTTGGATTTGATCATCGAGGCCATGTAACTCTGTATAGAGTATTTCATGGCGGTGGCCATTTTTAAACGTTGCCGGGTTGATTTTATTTTTGTGTTACTGTAGTGTGAAGTTAGCCAAGTTACAAGTAGGCCAACGGTCGTTTACTGTTGCGGTTAAATCGTCTCAAAAACAGCAGGATACATTCAGTTCCTTTCAAATTACAATTACACTTAAAAATCTGCAAGAATAACCCAATCGCTATCACCTATACACGCCATTTGTAAATTACACCAGCCCCTCTAGTGTTAATCTAAATCGCCAATAACACAACGTTATTTCATAAAGTAATATGTACGTGAGCCACAGCCAATATTCGCGCGCCTTGTTCCGGCGGGAGATTTCGAAGCGAATAAATCGTGCGCGCGCACCTTTTATAGGTATTGATTAAACTTTACGATACACTCCAAGATATGGGTCAAATGCCGGTCATTCCTGTTCGAATCGATTACAATTTGTAATGTTACAATGCGGACGTTCGCAAACTGTTTACTCGCGCTCGTCCTGCTGATATTCGCCTGTTACGGGCAGGAGGCAAATCGCGACGTAAAACAGCAACCCGAACTCGCGACCATGTAAGTTTCGCTAATTCGATCGAGCGCCCCAACGGATGTAGGTAATTAATTTTGTTTTACCGGTGCAGCGTGCGGAATTGGGCCGAGAAATTGGGGGGCGAGCTTTGGCACTTCGGCGAGCTGGTCACCAGGCGCAATATGGTCATCGACGTAAGTTTCGGGGGCGAAATTTAGCTATTTTTACGTCACGCCTTATTGCCATTTTAGAGCTATAAACGTACGACCGTCGTGCCGGAAGACGGCGATTCGCTCCTCAAGGATATGGCTGAGAAAATCAAGAAGATGATGGACGAGAAGGTGACCGCTGTGCGAGTAAGTCACATTTCGTGTGGGTAGTGGCAATGGAGTGCAATTATTGTCGTTGCAGAGAATAATGGAGGTCGCCGAGAATAAGGCGGTGATGCAGGGCGACGATGTCGAGCCGAGCTTTGAATTTTACAATGCCAAAAATTTAATTAACTCCGCCCCCAATGAAACATTCGAAGAGCACGAGGAGGCCGAGGTATGTTTTCACTATTTATTGACATTGAGATGTTTACAATCGGAGCTTTAAATCACAATTTACACAATTCGAATTGGGTGGTATTTTGAATATACCTCCTAACAATAATGTTTCCACAGATGTTTTATGTTGGAAATTTGAATTTACCAGACGATGCGATATATTTAGGTGTATTTTAGAAACCTGTAACGTGTACTTACGGTATTCGAATTTGAATCTCAAATATTTGTTTGATTTTCGCGTGTTTACATTTTAGTTATTTTTATTTTACGTCTACAGTGTTCATTTTGTGTAAGATAAAAATGATTTCAAAAATCTATGACTAATTTATAAATATCTTTAGTAAATGATCTCAAATTATAACGCATAGGACACTGTAATATCTAGATTCGAAATAATTACAATTCGATTGCATCGATAACCAATATGTAATTAAACATCGTCGATAATAACTTGGGTTGTAACATCCTTTTGAGCTCAGAAGGGCGCTTTTCTGCCATATCGGCAACAGAAAACAACACAAACAAAGAAACAATAGAGATAGTGATTAGCGCGGCACATAAATACAAGACAATGTCTAACGTCTGACACTATGGTAAATCGTATGACACTACACTAGCAAAAGCAATATTTTGATTGACAACGAATTGTCCGTACAAAACGGCATATAAAAACATGAATGTGACGCTAACTTCAAGAAAACTACTTCAAGGCGCACAAATAACTAAATTTCTATATAACAGCAATGATTAAAAATGTAAATAAACTAAAATGAACAAATTTTTCGTAGCGACACAAGTAGTGTAAGTAAAATCAAAAATATGGAAGCGCTAATCTCCGAAAGCTTTCGTAATACTCACAAGTATACAGTGATTCCATTGTGGTCATTTCCAGAAGCCATAAAAGTACCAAGAGTAAGGGAAATTCAAAGACTAATTGAAATAGAGTAAGGAGTAGATTAACATTTACTGGATGTTCTATTTTAAAAAATAATGTAAGGCTTGATAACGTTTCTATCTGACCCCGTATACTTATTATGAAACTGGCAGATTATTTAACAATCATAAAGAAATCTTTGTAATAAACATTTTTCTGAATCCTTTTTAATTAAAAAAATCGCGCGAATTTTTTCTGAACGCACAATTATTATTTTATACAATTTTCGAATTTTCTAAATTTTTTTGAATAATTTTGAATATTTTGCGAATTTTCTAGAATTTTTCTGAATGCACATTCATACACAATTATTTTATACAATTTTTGAATTTTCTAAATTTTGTTGGATAATTTAAGATTTCTTGCGAATTTTCTACTTTTTTCTGAACGCACATGCATACACAATTATGCATTTATTTTATGCAATTTTCAAAGTTCACTAAGCGTAGTCAATGGAGCAGCGACATCACATCACCACCACCAAAATACCAAATTAAAGAAGGGAAAGAATTAGATGTATCACGTAAACCATCTGCACGACCTCTGGTGGCGAAACAAAGAACTAAAGTAATAACAAATCTACCATAGAAATCGTGCCATCAAAATATGGAATATAAATTAGAGTAAAAAACGACTGTTAAAATAAGTTAAGCAAAAATGTTCAAGCACGTTGCAAGTTACTTTTTGAGCTAATGGATCGCGACTTCAGGCGTAGAAGGAGGGGGTTGATTGCTGGAAAAGATTCGCGTCAAGGGACGGTTGTGATTTAAAAAAGTAAAGTTGGCTGTTCCGAGAGAAGAATTCGTATTGAGCCGTAGGCGAAGTAAAGTCAACCACCGGTAAATTACCGTGAGGTGCGTTTTACTTGCAAAAAGAGAATTCGCGCTTAGAAGTGAAACCGGATTAAGTTAGCTACTTGTAAAAGAGGTAAGGTTGGATTGTGTGACACCCTAATAATCGAGAGTGGAGAAATTTTTTGCTAAAACGGTAGTGAAGTTAAGTACGTGAACAGTTAAACAAGCGAATTAAAGTTTTAATGACTTTCAATTTGAAAGAATGCCTTGCGAATTAGATACTATTACGGTAAATACGAACAATAGTGGACGTTTTGTACGCGCGAAATAAAATTCTGCGACCCTAATTACTCACTCCGTTCTGCGGTTAACACAGGCGCGCCATGAAGTAATACTTCTCCTCCACATAAAATAATCTACTATTACGATTACACTTTTCACTTGTTTGCAGTTGAACGAAAGCGAACAGGCTCAAAAGTTGCACCAAGACTTGGAGCCTTACCAAAATTTGGTCCAAACCGAAACGGGCTACGGCTACCAGCAAGACCAAGATTTACCGGACGCTGTCGACGACGTCCCGAAGGTGACCGACATCGAGGTGAGTCTTTTACCTTCTCCCACTCGTTCAGTGCCCTATCTCCTGTAGACCGTTGAGAGCGAGCAGGATGCCCAGGCGAGCCAGACGCCGCCGGACGACAAGCGTCGGCTGCCCCTCTTCCCGAATCCCCAATTCTACAATATTCCCGTTAACACGAACCACAGCGCGGTGCACGTGCCCAGCAACGTGTACGAGCGATGTAAGTGCCTCGAACGCTCAGCGCTTTTTTTGCTCATCGCCTGCTTGTAGCAAAAGAGGTGATTAAGGGCATCAAGTGGTCCGAAGAACTCGATAACACTTTCAAAAACAACTACAAGGAAGATCCGACGCTGTCGTGGCAGTATTTCGGCAGCTCCACGGGATTTATGCGACAATTTCCTGGTATGTCCAGACGATATAAGGCGTACAATTATCAGGAGATGTTTCAGCAATGATCTGGTCGCAAGAGCCAGTCGACCTGTTCGACTGCCGCACTCGTTCCTGGTACATCGAGGCGGCCTCGTCGCCAAAGGACATAATCATCCTGGTCGATCGTTCCGGTTCGATGACCGGAATGAGACGCGAGGTAGCTCGGCACGTCGTCAACAACATCCTGGACACTTTGGGAAATAACGATTTCGTTAATATTTTTACGTTCAGCAACACCACCGACACGTTGATCGACTGCTTCAACGACATTCTCGTTCAGGTAGGTACTTACGTTCGTCGCTGATTCGTAATCGAAGATCGCCATTCTAGGCGAATTTGGCCAACGTTCGCGCCTTGAAGGAGGAGATGGCCAATTTTCGAACTGAGCAGATCGCCAACTTTTCGTTGGCGCTGACGACGGCGTTTAGGTTGCTGCAGAACTATCGCGAAAATAAGCTTGGTAAGTTGCATGTTCATTTTATGGACATCTAATGTACGTACTAGAAACGTACGACGCACATACATTTACCATACATAGACCGCCGTGGAAGGTTGCGTACGAACTAGAGCGTGAACCTACTATGGATGGACATCATTTGCACGTACGTACGTAAATTCAAAAAGCTACAGACTACAGGTGGTTTTTCCCGACAGTACACTCAGTAAAATTAGAAAAACACTTTGGAATATTAACGGAATGCAAACTCACACAACATTTCATTTATTTATTTATTTGTTTGTTTTGTTTGTTTGTTTGTTTTGTTTTGTTTGTTTGTTTGTTTGTTTGTTTGTTTGTTTGTTTGTTTGTTTGTTTGTTTGTTTTGTTTGTTTGTTTGTTTGTTTCGTTTGTTTCGTTTGTTTCGTTTCGTTTCGTTTCGTTTCGTTTCGTTTCGTTTCGATTCGTTTCGTTTCGTTTCGTTTCGTTTCGTTTCGTTTCGTTTCGTTTCGTTTCGTTTCGTTTCGTTTCGTTTCGTTTCGTTTCGTTTCGTTTAGTTTCGTTTTGTTTCGTTTTGTTTCGTTTTGTTTCGTTTTGTTTCGTTTTGTTTCGTTTTGTTTCGTTTTGTTTCGTTTTGTTTCGTTTTGTTTCGTTTTGTTTCGTTTGTTTTGTTTGTTTTGTTTCTTTGTTTGTTTTGTTTGTGTGTTTGTTTCTCTGTCTGTTTGTGTCTGTTTGTCCGTATGTCCGTCTGCTTGTCTGTTTGTTTGTATTTATTTATTTATTGTGTCTTGTTCTGGGCGCTCAACAGGCTTTGGTGCCCAATTACAGAGTGGCCCGCATAATGCTTTTTAGAGGTGCCCCTGCAGAGGTAGAAGATTGAGAATTCATTAAAAAATATTGATAAAGATTCAGAAACTTTATCAATTCGGAAAATTCAGAAAAATGTTCATTTTATGTTTTAATTTTTTGAATTCTTAATGTTTTGAATTTTTAAAAATTTTGTTTTTTTTCTAAATTTGAATTATGTACATTTGGCGAAAGTTTAACATTTTTTTAATTGTTGTTTATATAATTTTTTACTTTGAAATTTTGTGTTAGTTTTATTACGTTTTTTGGATATTCCTGATTATTTTGAATTTATTTAATGAGACCATGGCCACTGCACCATCTATCCACCTATTCAAGAACCCCCTAGTAGATATACGAACCTAACTCGGTTCAACGTCGCTCACCCCCAGGTGACTTTGGAAAGTAAGGCAAGGCGGCGGTGACCTTGGAAATTAGGTCAAGGTGAAAGTCGCGTGGCACGTGAGCGGTGGCCGTGGAAAGTAGGTCGCGGTAAAGCTCAAAGGGCAAGCTGTAGTGATTGTATTTCATTTTTTGGGGTGTCAAATTACATGTACAGGGTCATCCCAGGTCAATGACTCTAATTGTAGTATCAAATGACATTTTCAATGTCATCTAAGGTTAATGACCTGAATTGTGTTGTCAGAATTCATTTTCAATGTCATTCAAGGGCAAGGGCCCCCATTTTTGTGTTGTCAAATTACAATTTCACTGGCATAAAGTCAACGACTGCATTTCCTCATTGTGCCTATACATTTTCAAGGTCACCCGAGGTCATTGACTCCTTTTTGTGATCCGAGGTCATTGATCCCTATTTTTGGGGTGTCAAGTTACATTTAAATGGTATCCGAGGTGTGAGCCCTTTCACGGTGAAAATAGGTCGCGGTAAAGCTCAAAGGGCAATCTGTTGTGATTGTATTTAATTTTTTTGGGGTGTCAAATTACATTTTCAAGGTCATTTCAGGTCAATGACTAATTGTAGTATCAAATGACATTTTCAATGTCATCCAAGGTCAGTGGCCTCCATTTTTGTGTTGTCAAATTACAATCTCAATGGTATATAACGTCAATGACTGCATTTCCTCATTGAGCCTATAAATTTTCAAGGTCGCCCTAGGTCATTGGCCTGTTTTTGTGATCCGAGGTCATTGACCCCATTTTTGAGGTGTCAAATTACATTTACATTATATCCGAAGTGTTAGCCCTTTCACGGTTAAAATAGGTCGCGATAAAGCTCAAAGGGCAAACTGTTGTGATTGTATTTAATTTTGAGCGGTGTCAAATTACATTTACAAGGTCATCCCAGGTCAATGACTCCAATTGTAGGGTCAAATGACATTTTCAACGTCATCCAAGGTCACTGACCCCATTTTTTTATGGTCAAATTACAATTTCAATGGCATATAAAGTCAATGACTGCATTTCCTCATTAAGTCTATAAATTTCAAGGTCGTTCGAGGTCATTGGCCTCTTTTTGTGATCCGAGATCATTGAACCGATTTTTGGGGTGTCAAATTACATTTAAATGTTAACCGAGGTGTGAGCTCTTTCACGGTGAAAGTAGGTCGCGGTAAAGCCCAAAGGGCATGCTGTAGTGGTTGCATTTCATTTTTTGGGGTGTCAAATTACATTTTCAAGGTCATTCATGGTAATTGTCCCCCATTGTTGTGTTGTCAAATTACAGTTTCAATGGCATATAAAGTCAATGGCTGCATTTCCTCATTGACCCTATCAATTTTCAAGGTGACCCGAAGCCATTGACCCCTTTTTGTGATCCGAGATACATTTAAATGTTATCCGAGCTTTGAGCCCTTTCACGGTGCAAGTGGGTCGCGGTAAAGCCCCAAGGGCAAGCTGTAGTGATTGCATCTCATTTTTGGGGGTCAAATTACATTTTCAAGGTCATTCACGGTAACTGTCCCACATTTTTGTATTGTCAAATTACAGTTTCAATGGCATATAAAGTCAATGACTGCATTTCCTCATTGACCCTATACATTTTCAAGGTTGCTCGAGGCCATTGACCCCTTTTTGTGATCCGAGGTCGTTGACCCCATTTTTGGGGTGTCAAATTACATTTTCAAGGTTACCCACGGTAATTGTTTCCCATTTTTGTATTGTCAAATTACAGTTTCAATGGCATATAATGTCAATGACTGCATTTCCTCATTGACCCTTTAAGTGTTCAAGGTCACCCAAGATCATTGGCCCCTTTTTGTGATTCGAGGTCGTTGATCCCATTTTGGAGGTGTCAAATCACATTTAAATGTTATCCGAGTTTTGAGCCCTTTCGCCGTGAAAATAGGTCGCGGTAAAGCTAAAGAGCAAGCTTTAGTGATTGCATTTCATTTTTTGGGGTGTCAAATTACATATTCAAGGTCATTCACGGGAACTGTTCCACATTTTTGTATTGTCAAATTACAGTTTCAATGGCATATGACTGCAGTTACTCATTGACCTTATCAATTTTCAAGGTCGCCCGAAGTCATTGACCCTTTTTTGTTATCCAAGGTCGTCGACCCCATTTTTGGGGTGTCAAATTACATTAAAATGTTATCCGAGCTTTGAGCCCTTTCACGGTGAAAGTAGGTCGTGGTAAAGCCCAAAGGGCAAGCTGTAAAGATTTCATTTTTTGGGGTGTCAAATTACATTTTAAGGTCATCCACGGTAATTGTCACCCATTTTTGTATTGTTAAATTACAGTTTCAATGGCATATAAAATCCTCTCCAGTTTCTTACTCATTGAGAACGACTTTCGGGTGCCCATTTTTTAGTTTCCCGAAAAATGTCTACACAAGTACTTTGTTACATTATTTTGCCCACAAGTATAACAAAATTTTCGCCTCGTCTCCGTACATTGATTAACACTGTGACCGGTTTTTAAATAATTCCAACATTTCTGCATGTTTGTTCCTTCTACTCGTATTTAAGGATTCGTTGCCTTAGTTTTTTAATCTATGATCAAAACTACCTGTAATGTGAGACACGTTCCAGAAACTTTTAGAAAAATGTCGTTTTTGAAAATTTAAAAAATCGAAAAGTATGAAAAGTTCAACATTTCTGAATCTCCGAAAGTGAAAACGTTGTAGGTATTTTCTGTTGCAGGCGCTCAGTGTAATCAAGCCATTATGTTGGTCACAGACGGCGTGCAGTACAACTACAAGGAGATCTTTAAAGAGTACAACTGGCAGAACTTGCCATTCATGCCGGTACGCGTTTTCACGTACCTAATCGGTCGAGAGGTGAGCGACGTCCGCGAGGTCAAGTGGATGGCCTGCGCGAATCAAGGTAGGCGATTGGTTACTTTTGTTGCGACGTCAAATTTATGTTGGTACTCCTGGGCTGATGCTTCCAAAACTTATTTTAAATCATTGATGACGTCATCGCTCGATTACTTTTTGTTTTTTTGGAAACCAGCAGTAGGTACTAACAGTATCTGTGACGTCGCACTTTTCTCTCCTTTTGGAAGAGTTCATCAAGCACGCCCCTTAGGTTACTACGTACATCTCAGCACGTACGCCGAGGTGCGGGAGCAAGTCTTGCAGTACATACCGGTGATGGCACGGCCGATGGTCCTCAATCCGTCTGTGAAGCCGCATCCGACCTGGAGCCCGGTTTACGCCGACGTCGCCGATCCGAAGCTCACGAACTGGCTGTGGGTGACGCGCGAGCGCAACAAACAACGCGAGCGCTTCATCCTCTACCGCCGCAACAAGACGATGTTCATCCCCGACGAGCAGGACCGCAAGTACGTCCACAGACAGAAGCACGTAAGTCTCGCAGCGAATCGGTCCTCCACTAACGCGCGCCCCTTTCAGAAGCCCGAAGAGTACGGCGACCTGCAGGTGTACCGCCTGATGACCTCGGTCTCGCTGCCCGTCTACGACAAGCGACCGAACGCCGTAAGTGCACAACTCCCTCTCGCGTACTCACTTTTAGATTCTTTTGAAAAAATAAAATTATGTCTACAGAATATCACTGAACAAATTCAAATCAACGAGGCGACGTGGATTACCGTGACCCGCGAGGTAACCTTAGGAAGCGTCCCGTAAAACATTATGCCAGACATTTTAATTTTCAGTAGCTAGGATATTAGCACCTGTGTTTACCTACGTGGGAGTTTTACTTGTCTAGAAAGATAGAATAGCGTTAGATACTTTTCGTTAGGAAGTTAGCAATAGTCTTACGTATAGAATCTAGACGGCTAGTTCATAGACGATTCGACGAACGGTGTCCGGGAATAGCTAACTTTGTGTCATTTGCAGACGCGCGTCGCCAACTTGTTGGGAGTGGCCGGAACTGACGTTCCGATTGAGTACATACAACGACTGATGATGCCGTATAGGGTGAGTTATCACTACAAAAAAATAAACTCGAAAAATATTCCTACTGGCCAGATAATTCATTTTATTTTAACAAATAAGCAAAATCTAAATAATTAAAATAAGACGCAATTCAGTTTCTTTCACTGATAATTCAAATAAAACATATTAAGCAATAAAGCTATATGAATGGGTGCTTTTATCGTCCTTGAATTTCGCCGATGCTGATTTCAAGTACGGAGTGGTGGCGCCTTTCCGATCAGGATGTTGATTTTTTCCAAATAAAATTCTAACAAACGCAAGCACTCAAAACAAATCGCAACCGAAAAGAACAAAGCGCTGTGGACAATGGAACTTTCCGATTTATGGAATTTTTGTTGCACTCGTCAAGGGTTGCATCGAAGGACAGGTTCGCAATGAAATGATAAAATTAAAGAAAAATACAAAAGGAAATAATTGATCCTATTTCATGTGATTTACGAATTTTTTCGTGTCGACCGCCTTTTACATCGAAATTGGGAAGGGCTGATTGTCGCATGTTTCAGATTTTGCAACACCCGCAACCCTTTCTAAACCCGCCAGTTTAAAATCAGCCCCCTTTCACATCGAAATTGATGACGACATGTTTCATAGCTTCCATAGATCACATTTTTTGTACTGCCCGCCTTTTTAGTATCGGCCATCTTTATCGGCATAGAGACGATTTGCTTGTCGCATCTTCCATAGATCGCATTTTTTCAATCGGCCTCCGATTTACCATCGACCACTATTTACATCGAAATAGGGAACGGTTGTTTGTAGCATCTACTATGGATCGGTTTTTCACCAAAGCCCGCCTGTTTTTGGTGGCGATCCTACTTAACATCACTTGTCGTGAGTGCCGAGCGAGCCGAGAGCGAGTTCGGCACAAACTAAGGCAGAATAGAGGTATGACTTACCCCACCATACCTTTTCTCTGCCAAGGTTTGTGCCGAACTCGCTTCGGCTCGCTCGGCACTGGGTTCATTTGCGGAGAAGTTTAATGATAGGCCTATTTTAATGCCGAGCGAACCGAAGGCGAGTTCGGCACAAACTAAGGGAGAGTAGAGGTATGACTTACCCCACTATATTTTTTTTCTGCCTAGGTTTGCGCCGAACTCGCCCGCGGCTCGCTCGGCACTAGTTTCGTTTGCGGGGAAGTTTAATGATAGACCTATTTTAATTCCGACCGAGGCGAAGGGGAATTTGGTACCAACACCACCATACCTTTCCTCTGCATAGGTTTGCGCCGAACTCGCCCTCGGCTCGCTCGGCACTGGTTTCGTTTGCGGGGAAGTTTAATGACAGGCCTATTTTAATGCCGACCGAGGCGAAGGGGAATTTGGTACCAACACCACCATACCTTTCCTCTGCCTAGGTTTGCGCCGAACTCGCCCTTGGCTCGCTTAGCACTGGTTTCGTTTGTGGGGAAGTTTAATGGTAGACCTATTTTAATGCCGACCGAGGCGAAGGGGAGTTAGGTACAAACCCCACCATACCTTTCCTCTGCCTAGGTTTGCGCCGAACTCGCCCTCGGCTCGCTCGGCACTGGTTTCGTTTGCGGGGAAGTTTAATGACAGGCCTATTTTAATGCCGACCGAGGCGAAGGGGAATTTGGTACCAACACCACCATACCTTTCCTCTGCCTAGGTTTGCGCCGAACTCGCCCTTGGCTCGCTTAGCACTGGTTTCGTTTGTGGGGAAGTTTAATGATAGACCTATTTTAATGCCGACCGAGGCGAAGGGGAGTTAGGTACAAACCCCACCATACCTTTCCTCTGCCTAGGTTTGCGCTGAACTCGCTCTCGGCTCGCTCGGCACTGGTTTTGATTGCGGTGAAGTTTAATGACAGGCCTATTTTAATGCCGAGCGAGCCGATGGGGAGTTCGGTGCAAACTAAGGGAGAGTAGAGGTATGACTTACCCCACCACATCTTTTTTCTGCCTAGGTTTGCGCCGAACTCGTCCTAGGCTCGCTCGGCACTGGTTTCGTTTGCGGGGAAGTTTAATGACAGGCCTATTTTATTGCCGACCGAGGCGAAGGGGAGTTCGGTACAACCCCCACCATATCTTTCCTCTGCCTAGGTTTGCGCCGAACTCGCTCTCGGCTCGTTCGGCACTGGTTTTGATTGCGGTGAAGTTTAATGACAAGCCTATTTTAATGCCAAGCGAGTCGATGGGGAGTTCGGTGCGAACTAAGGGAGAGTAGAGGTATGACTTACCCCACCACATTTTTTTTCTGCCTAGGTTTACGCCGAACTCGCCCTAGGTTAGCTCGGCACTGGTTTCGTTTGCTGGAAAGTTTAATGATAGACCTATTTTAATGCCGAGCGAGGCGAAGGGGAGTTCGGTACAAACCCCACCATACCTTTCCTCTGCCTGGGTTTGTGCCGAACTCGCCCTCGGCTCGCTCGGCACTGGTTTCGTTTGGGGGGAAGTTTAATGATAGGCCTATTTTAATGCCGAGCGAGCCGATGAGGAGTTCGGTGCAAACTAAGGGAGAGTAGAGGTATGACTTACCCCACCATATCTTTTCCCTGCCTAGGTTTGTGCCGAATTCGCCTTGTAGTTGCAGTTGTGGAGGACGAAAAAAATTTTTATTTTTATATTATGTGATGATCTGAACGTATTGTCCGTCTGGCGAAAAATATAAGACAGAGTTTGGGGGGGGGGGTATTAGAATACTCCCCCCCTAGCACAGAGGATTAATCGATTAACTTTCCCTGAAAAGTATCATGACAGATAAGAGGGCCATTTCTCTTTGCCGAGGGGGGGGGGGTTTAAAACCCCCCACCACTGGAGACATCGATTACCTTTTTCTGAAAACTGTTTCGCAAATGGGCACTTTTCTGGGGGGAGTTTGGTACAAACAAAGGGAGAGTAGAGGTATGTCTTACTCCACCATACCTCTTCTCTGTCTAGGATTGTTCCGAACTCGCTTTCGGCTACCTTCGCACTGGCTTATTTTGCATGGAAGCTTAATCACAGACCGATTTTAATGCTTAGCGAACTGCCAAACAAAGCAAAACGATTCGGCAATCAAGTATACTGAAAAGGACGACCCCCCTCTTGTATCAAATTACTGTGCGCTTTGATAAACTAAACACCTGTATTTACTTGCGGCGAGCACCGACTTGTCTTAATCCCTACTTTCTTAATTCCCAAGAAACACCTACAAAATGGCGCTTATAGGTTATAGCGGCCATCTTTATTTGTCTAAAACATCAACTTCGTCGCTTCAAGCAACTACGTGCGTATAAAGGCCATTAGTTAGAATAGAACCCACCAGAATTTAAAATTGCTGACTTAGCTGTTCGCACACTGCTCTGTGGCGTGATTATGAACCGTTTAGTCACGTAAGAGCTATTAATCTCTCGTTATCGTCCGCCAGACGGTCACCAAAAACATTCTCGATGTCGTGAGACTTTCAGCTTGTGCAATTAAATTTTCATTTTCCAGATCGGAGTGAACGGTTATGCCTTCATCGTCACGAATAACGGTTACATTTTGATTCACCCGGATTTGCGACCCGTGGTAAGTGTCCCCATTTCGCTTATTTACGAAATCATCGCATATCGTCGACGTCAGTTTCAGGGTATACTCAAACCGGCTTACAATCGAGTCGACTTGCTTGAAGTGGAAGTGATGGACGACGATTCGGAGCCGCGCGACTTCAACGAGTCGATAATCGAGTTGCGAAGGAACGTCGTAATGCAATCCCGCGGTCACGTCATGCTCAAAGTGAAAACTCATCTCGACGACCTGGTAAGTCGCAGTTGCGCCGGGCGCGCCCTCTACGTCATCTTTCAGAGACGGATAATACTCAGCAACCGCCACTATCACTACATGGGTATCAATAACACGCCGTTCAGTGTCGTACTCGCCTTGCCCGATCGCTACGGCTTCAATCGCATCCAATACGCGCTGGACGACGACATTCATCGAATGCGATCGAATAATATGATCAAGGGGCCCGTCACGCAGTTTTTCACCGGGAATTGGACCATCCATCCGGATTGGTGAGTACTTCGCGGGGGTCCGCCACAAAATCTCACCCCGTGTATACTTCAGGTTGTACTGCAAGTACTCGGACGACAAGCACAACTTCGAAACGCCCGAGGAGGAGTTGCTGCACTTCTTAGTCAAAATCGACTTGCCACGCTGGAAATGGTCGAGGGAGTGTAAGTGTGGGCGCGCGCCCGAACGCGTCTGATATCGTTCGGCTTTCAGGCGACAGTAAGCTAATTAAATCGCTCGTCGCCGACGCGAAGATGACCGAGTGGTTTAATCAGAACATTACGACGAGCAACAAGGACGAGAACGGGTGAGTACGTCTCCGCGACTTTTCGTACACTTTCGGTTCTTGCACTCGAACTTATGTCAAAATGCACTAATTAACATTTTATTTTATCACGAAAGGCCAATAGCAATGTTGATGGCACTAATACCAAGGTATAGTATATTACACATAAAGACGTGCGGTGATGCAGCGATGCCAGTTTGCCATTTGAAAGCTCGGCAATGCTGTTTACTAATGTTTGTTGTACAAAAGCACACACTGGGGAGGTGTAAGTAGGAAGGTGCCCATGTGAATCGTAATCTGTGATCTGTAAATGATGAACTTTATGGCACCGCTCACCTTCCAGAATGGTGCCAACTAATTTGATTGCCAAACACGCTATTTATCCTTGACTTTCTTGTGCAGGTTTAAGTGCAGTTGTGAGAGACGCTCAAAATTTTTATTTTTTACATCATGGCACCCGACACTGCAATTTTGACTTACCCTTTGCTTACAGTTGGCAAAAACTACAACATCTAATTTTCATGTCAAATGATGCGTCACTTTCAAACCTCGGTAACAGTCGGCCCGGACGGGGTTGTATGTACAAAGAGTGGCGGTTGTTTTTGTGTGTTGAGACGTGAGACACAGTCGGGAATAGAAATGAATAGAGCGACGAGAGAAATTACGTTACCTTAAAAAACATGAAAATAGCATGGTTCTCTTCCGGCATCGGCCACCATTAATTTAGCAATACATTATAATTAGATTTCAAATGCACAGTCAGCCGTCTTTTTTGTGGGCGTACTGGTAATATACAGGGTGGCCCACTATGGACCAGGTTTCAAAAAAACAAATTCCTTCTGATCAAAATATTACGTTTTTAACTTCGATATAGAACGTGACCCAAAAAGTGAATTATAAGCAATTAATGTACAGGGTGTTCCATTTTCGATCGACACATCGAGTAACTTACCTTTTCCTGATAATCATCATGATAGTTGTTTCGACAGAGGGTCATCAAATCAAACAATCGGCATGCTTTTGGTATCCCCCCCTCCCCAGCACACAGGGGCAGTCGATAACTTTCTTCTGAATGATCATTACGGTTGTATTTTTGATATTCCATACATACACACAAAGATCTGAACGTTTTGTCGTTTTGGCGTAGAATGTAACACCGGGAGGTCTGCGGGTGTAGAATACTCCCCCCCCCCCCCCCAGTACAGGAGGAATTTTTTCCCTGAAAACTATCATGACAGTTACGTTTCGAAAGAGGGTCATCAACTCTTTGCCTAGGAGGTATTGTCCTGGCGGAACGTCTTGGGACGGGGGGGGGGGGGTATAGAAAACCCCACAGCACAGGAGACATCGATTACTTTTTCCTAAAAACTATCATTACGGTTAAGTTTCGAAAAGGACAATCAAATTTCTCTTCTCCTGGGCGGTGTCATACCCCCCCCCCCCAACCCACCGACTCCGCGGTAGTAAACTGTTCCCCAAAATGTTAAAAATAATTGGCATATTTTTGCCATATTCCATACACGAAAGTTGTAGGGCTGAACGTTTTGGGGGAGAATATAACACCGAGGGATCGGCCCCCCATCACAGGAGTCTTCGATTACTTTATCCTGAGAACTACCATGACAGTTCAGTTTCGATCATTTCGGTAATCAAATGTCTCTTTCCCTGGGGGGGATCCCCCCCCCCCCCCACCACCTCCCGATACTGCACTTTCCGCCAAAACGTTAAGGACAATCTGCATGTTTTTGATAGGAATACCACCCAGTACAGGAGGAACCGGTTACCTTTTCCTGAGAACTATCACGGCAGTTAAGTTTCAAAAGAGTACCATCAAATCCCCTTTCGCGGGAGGGGGGTTATTGTTCTGGGGCGAGGGTATTCTACACCCTCCAGACCCCCCGGTTGCGAACTGTCTCCCAAAATGAGATCAGGGGGTTTGGAAAACCCCCTCAGCACACAGGAGGACTGGATTACCTTTTTCTGAAATCTATCATTACGGTTATGTTTACGGTTCGTCTCTTTTCCTGAGGGATGTTTTACGCCCCTCCCCTCATCAAACCTCTCTTTCGCTGTGGGGTATTTTACGCTTCCCCCTCCCCCGATTCCACGATAGTAAACTATTCCCCACAATGTTAAGAACAACTGGGATATTTTTGATATTCCATACACGAAAGTTGTGGGGCTCAATGTTTTGGGGGAGAACGTAACGCTGGGAGATCTGGGGGATAGGTATGGAATATCCCCCAGCACAGGAGGAATCGATTACCGTTTACGGAAAACTATCATGACAGATGACAGTTACATTTCGAAAGAGGATCACCAAAGCTCTCCTTTCCTGAGAGTATTTCATCTCCCCCCCCCCCCTCTACAACCACCGGTACTGAACTGTTCCCCAAATGATAAGGACAATAAATACGTTTTTGATATTCCATATACACGAAAGTTATAACAGCTGAACTTGTGGGGTTGAGTGTAATACCTTGGGGTCTGGGGAGTATGGAATCCCCCCCCCCCTCCCACGCACAGGAGTAATCGATTACCTTTTCCTGTAAACTATCATTATGGTTAGGTTTCGCCAAGGGTCATTGAATCTCTCTTTTCCTGAGGGTGTTTTAGCCCCCCCCCCTCCCCGACTGCACGGTAGTAAACTGTTCGCCAAATTTCAAAAATACCCCCCCCAGCAAACTATCATGATAGTTAAGTTTCGAAAGAGGGTCTTTTCCGGTGAGGGGAGTACTGCCCGGGGGGGGGGAGGTCCCAGGCGTCTCGGTTGTAAACTGTCCTCCCCTAAAAAGTTAAGGACAATCTCCATGTTTTTAGCGCATTTTTTAAGAATTAAAATGTGCTATTTTTTGCGTTTTGCCCGTCCATCCGTCTGTCCCTCCGCCCGGATCCACTTTTGCGGTTTTGAATTACTTTCAGAGGAATGGTTCTAGAGTCCTGGAATTTTTTCCAATATGTAGCCTATACTCTGAAGGTGTGCCAGGCGGTCATCTCAAGGGGGGGGGGGGTCGCCCGCATGAATTATCTCCTAGGATGCTGTTTTTTAACGTGAAACGTGCATAACCTTTACATGCGACAACCAACTGGTTTCAAGATTTGCATATGCGTGCTCATTAGTGGTGCCAAGAAAAATTTTTGAAAATGGTGAAGGGGGGGGGTAAACACACGTTCTCCCCTTAATGATAATGATAGTGAAAGGTCTCCCCGAAATGAAGTTTATACAAACTATAACTTTCCTGCTCGCCTCTTTTCAGAGATCAGTCCGTCGCCGGCCGGGGGAAGGTGAGAGGGGGAGACATTATTTTATAAACTTTTATGGTTTTCCAATTAAATGTCTCAACAAACGGAACTGTTCAAAAAGATAACACTAAAAAAAACCTTTTTTAAATTTTTTTTTAATTTTTCGAATTTTTTGAATCACCTAGAGATTTTTTTCCGACAACCCCTTTTCGAGATCACCAAAGGCTATATTTATTCTGACGTCCCAATCGCCTTTTGTGAGTACCTACCCTCTTCCGACAATACGTTCTGGAGATATAAAGGAATATATCAGACCACAATGGGGTCGAGGAGGAGGACTATGGATGCTAGAAAGAAATTCCTTTCGTTGGACCTTTCATTAGAGTACCATGAAGGTTAAAACTTGTTTCACTACCCTCCCCCTCTTCCAGCCCCGTCTTTTGATAAGAGGACAGAAAGAAGGGCAGTAGTTAGTAGAAAACGGTTCCTTTCGTTGAAACCTTTTATTTAGAATACCATGAAGGATAAAACTAATTTCTAACACCCCCCCCCCCCCCATCAGGGCCCGTCAGTCGCTGATCTCGAAAAAGAGTCGCCCTGGAAAGATATAGTTATAGTACAAACCAACTCATTTTCATTTAGACCTTTCATTATAATACCATGAAGGGTAAAACGTGCGTTAACCCCCCCCCCCTTTCCCCATTTTCAAAATGGTAACTATGCATCACTAAAGGCATGCGTATGCAAAAACTGAGATCAATTGTTGAAACTTTTTGAAATCTGTATTGAGTCTTCGTTATTGAGCCTTGAGTAGCAAACTTTAAATGCTGTACCTTCAGTATTGAATCTTGCGTGTTAACTCTAGCTAGAACCCTGACATCTTGCCTTGAACCTTGAGCACTGACTCTTGCGTCACGTGGTTTAAAGCTTGGCTCTTGAGCTTTGAGATTTAATTTTTTGGAACTAAATATTGAGCCTCGAATCGTGAATATTGGGTCCTTAGTCTTTATAGATTTATAGATTTTCAGCTCTTTGAGTCTCAATCTTTTACCTTAGGATCTTGGGATCTCGCATTCTTTCATTTTGAATTGGCTTTTCAACACTGAGGTTTCCGTCTAGATTTATGGGCCCGAATCCTCGAGCTTTGATTCTTAAGGATTGAGTCCTCGTTGTTAAGTCTCGGGCTTTAGATCTTGACCCTTGAATGTTGAACCTTAAGTCTCCTGTCTTGAATCTTGAGCTTTGAACGTTTTATCTTGAGTATCGAGTATTGAATCTCGTTATTTGGGTTTTGAGTTCTGAAATTTTGAGTATTAATCTTTAACCTTGAACCAAGTAGACCTTGAACGTTGAGCACTGTGTCATGGGCCTAGAGTCTTTAATTTTGAGGTTTAATTCTTGCACGTTGGGCCTTGAATCTTGAATCTTCGGTCCATACTCTCGAATTTTGAGCCTTTAATCATGGAGTCCAGTTTTGAGTCGCAATTTTTGAGGCTTTTGAATAGTGAATGTTGGGCTTTGAGAATTGAATTTTCAATCAGTCTTGAATATTTAGTTTGAATAGTAAATGTTGAGCCTTCTTGGATGCGAAATGTTGAGTCCTGAGCTTTTAACTCTAATTTTTGAGTATTAAATTTTGGTTGTGGAGTATTTGATCTTGAGAATTGTCTTGGTTCTGAGGAATACGAAACGAAGCGATGAAGACGAAGCGAGCCGAGATGAGCCGAAACAAAACGAAATGTAATGTAATAAATCAAGATTATTATACAGAGTGTTTGAAAAAAAATGTACAGTGTGTCTCAACAGTAAGTCGATTTTGCGCAATTGATTTGTCACCATACACCGTGTAGTTCAAAAACGTATTGTTACCGGCGATATGATTTTAGTTGTACTCTTCGTGCGCGTGCCATAAATTTCATCACCTCTACCTCGCATTTCTCGCCATCGACCTTACGTTTATAGCGGGTGTTTTTCAGGCACGAGTTTATTAAGCGTTTCGGAATCACGGTCGCCTTCCTGTCGACTTACAGCGGGCTGACGCGCTGGCAGGACTTTCCACAGAATATCGGCGACAAGGAGGCGAGAGACGAGCCGTAAGTTTCGGTCGACCGGCGGTTTCAGAGTAAACGAGCCCGGAGGTTTCAGGCACTTTCATCAGTTGCACAATAAGGCGATCGACGAGGTGTGGTATAGACGCGCCGTCGAGCAGCACTACGTCGAACCGAGGAGTTTCGTGTACTCGGTTCCGTTCGACGTCGGCGACGAGAATAACACGCTCGTGACGGCGAGTCACGCGATCTTTAAGGACGACGGTACACGAAAGGCCCCCGCCGCCGTGGTCGGGTTTCAGTTTTATCACAGCGCACTTCGCTCGTTGTTTACCAAGATTACGTCGACAGTAAGTGGGCGTTTCAATTCTCAGCAGTCGGCCATCTTTGATTCTTTTAGTGCGGCAATATACAGTGCAAGCGCACGTGCAGCTCACAAGAGCTGTACTGTCTGGTTTTGGACGATAACGGGTACGTGATCGTCAGTGACGAACCAGGTGATACTGGGCGCTTCCTGGGGGATTTGCGCAGCGACATCATGTCGTATCTAATCGACGAGGGCGTCTACAAGGCGACCCGCATGTTCGACTACCAGGCGACTTGCTTTCGGAGCACCGACACAGGCAGCCACGCGTCCCGTTCGCTCACAGTAAGTGCACTCGGAACTGAAACCGCACAACTCTACACCGACACTTTCAGTGGCTTACACACTTAATGGACGTTTGGGTTTGGGCCAAAACACTTTTAGCCTTTTTGTTTTATACCGTGATAGGAACTACGGGTTACGAAAACGAATTTGCACACTTGCGTTTGCAACAAATGATCGCTTATCCTTGTCATTACGAAATGTGGACCTACACGATGACCGGAACACAGCGGGGAAATGATGACTGTGTCCGGTAGGTCTCTTTAGGGGAAAGTTGCCTGGGCGTGATGGCATACTCGATTTAAAGACGTCATCGTGGTTTCGAAACCCGCAATGCGCTCTACGACGGCTCAAAACCGACAGTTTCTAATACTTGTACCACGCCCAAAATGGCACTAATTAATTTACGCGGCCATCTTTAATCATGCACGAAACGGATTCGCTTAGCACCACGAATCACGTGCGCATTCATCAAATATCCACGGTGCTTCCCATGGACACGCATGATATCATTTTGCGTAATCCTGACGGGACTGTTTTAGGCACGTAAACTCTATTAAGATTGTATTATCGCCCGTCAGACTGTCGCCACTCGAACTTTTAACGGAAACCAGTGATCTAGTATGCCATCACGACAACCAGCTTTCTCCTACACCCTGTATATACCTCGAAGTCTCTCTTCGTAGATCCCAACAGATCCGATACACGAATCTTCTTTTACTGATAATCAATGTTGATTGCCTCCCCTACAATAAAACGCACAAATTTCAAATTAGACAGCTCGAGTACAAAACCGACTTGCGTTGCGTCCTCGGCAACGATCGTTTCACGATTAATCAGCGCAGGGAGTGTTTCAACGAGGATTTCTTTAACGTGAGCCTTCGCGGCGCGCCATTAAATCTAATCGCAAAACGCACGTTTTAGGAGACGGAAATTGATAAGTGTGGAGCTACAAAAATGCGCGTACACATTCTTACACTACTCACAGCAACACTTTACCTCTGATACGATCGCGCACTTCGATTCCCTTCGTATTATAAGCTTGCCTGTTTTAGTCGTTATTAAATGTTTCGGAGCTATTGCGATGGGCGATCACGACGCTCGTGTACCTCACGAGATCGGTTTGGTGCACCGAATTGCTGCCGACGAACGAGCCCGAGCACGAGGACGAGGACCAGACCATCCTGGACGAGCCGCCGCTGAGCGCGAACGAGAAGGAGTTCGATCCGCGAGTGCTCATCAGAAAGACCAGTCCGGAACCTTGCGATCAGGATGTTTCGTTGTACACGCTCGGCTTGAAAAATACCACCGCGGAGGCTTTCGATAGAACCATGACGATCGGATGCGATAGGTAAGTGATATAATATACTTTAAGGCAGCTTTCAATTGAGCACGAAAATAAAAAATAAACGTGACCTTGGAACGTAGGTAAAGTTGAAAGTCGCGTGTCACCTAGCGGTGAACTTGGAAAGTAGATCAAGGTGATACCCAATCACATATCGGGTGCCGCCTAAGTTATATAGCTCGCCTCCTGTCGAGGAAGTTCAAAGGTTGCTCACCGTTCAAAGTTCAAAGGTTGATCGCCGTTCGAAGTTCAAAGGTTGGTCGACATTCAAAGTCCAAGGTTTGCTCACCGCTCAAACTCAAAAGGCTGGTCGCCGTTCAAGACCCCATTTTATAGTGTCATATTTCATTTTTAAGATAAGTAGAGGTCAATGATCCCAGTTTTGTGGTGCCATATTTAATTTTCAAGGTTATCAGTTCAATAACCTTATTTCTTGATGTGTTTTATTCAATTTTTAAGATCCTCAAAAGTCAATGTTCCCAATTTTTTGTGGTTTCATTTTCGAGGCAATGGCCCCTTTTCTTGTGAGTCATATAAGGCCGATCCTAACTCAACTCTATGTAAAATCCCCTAAGGCGATTTTCTAGTGTCAGTGTCATTTGAAGGTGACTTTAAAAACTAAATGTCTAAAGACTAAAGGTTCACGATATAATGATCATCGAAATTAAGTTCGTTTAAAGTTCAAACTTTAGTCGCCTTTCAAAGTTCAAAGTTTGCTCGCCGTTTAAAGTCCAAAGGTTGATCGCCGTTCAAAGTCCAAAGTTTGCTCGCCGTTCAAAGTCAAAAGATTGGTCGCCGTTCAAGACCACATTTTATAGTATCATATTTAGGGAATGCAATACCGGGTTTGCGGCATTTTTGCGAGATTAATCCCGCACATAAATGGAACTGGATCCCGCGGGATTTGCGGGACTGAGGAATTTGTCGACCAAGGAGACGACTCTGTTTACTTTGTTAATGAAACTGATAACGGCGAATTATTTTTTAAATAATTGTTAAACTTTTTTCGTTAAAAATGTACTATGATTTTTGAGGCACTTTAGAAGACTTTTTGTGCTTTACAGGTAAGGTTTTTTTGAGTTCTAAGTTAGGCCGAAGGTACTTTTTTGTTAAATATTGTGATAATTAGCGATTTATTTTAATACAGAAGTTAACCGCACAGAATTGCTTTTTTGCCAATTTATTTAGTTTTGCGAAATCCCACAAATACCGGGACCTCGCGGGATTAACATCTAACAATCCCGCGAATACCGGGATTGAGATTTTGCTGCGGGATTGCATTCCCTACTAGAAACCAATTTCAAAAGAAAATTCAAAGGGCTGTAACTTTTGAACTAGCAGCCCAATCTTGGAACTGTTTGAAATTATGGATTCTACAGGCCACATTCTATAAGAACATTTTTTTTCCGGGTCGATCTGAAACAATTTTTTTTTCGGGCCTCAAAAAAAGGCAGTGTATAACCTTCCTTTTTTACCAAAAATCGACTGCACCAAAATTTCTCGGGAAAACACTTTTTTCTATTAATTTTGGTGCGTAGAATCCAAAACAATTCGTACTTTTTCGATCAGACTTCTCAATTAAAAGTTATAGACTAGAAACCAATTTCGAAAGAAAATTCAAAGGGCTATAACTTTTGAACTAGTAGCCCAATCTTGGAACTGTTTGAAATTATAGATTCTACAGGTCACATTCTATAAGAAAATTTTTTTCCGGGTCGATGTGAGACAATTTTTTTTAGGGCTTCAAAAAAAGGCAGTGTATAACCTTCCTTTTTTACCAAAAATCGACTGCACCAAAATTTCTCGGGAAAACACTTTCAAATTCCAAAGTTGGTTCGCTGTCTCGAGTCTAAAGGTTAGTCGTCATTCAAAGTCCAATGGTTGGTGTGATCAAAGGTTGCTCGCCGTTTAAAGTTCAAAGGTTGCTCGCCGTTCAAAGTCCAAAATTTGCTTCGATCGTGCTCATTAAGATTTAAAAAATTAGTTTCACTCAAAAGCGAAGTTAAGTCAACCACTTGCAATTTATCGCAGGGTGAATTTTATGTTATTCGCGTCGAACTGCGAGAGAGGATTAGCGCGAAGTGGTCGGCGCAGTTAAGTCGGTGACCTGTAATTTAGCACACGAGTGTTTGATTTGTATGAAAATTTCACGTTGAGCCGCAAGCGAAGTTAAGTCGCCCACCTGTAATTTACCGTAGTCCATTATCTCAATAATTGTTAGTGCTATCGAAAATGTAATATGGGCGTTAGGTGCTCTTTTTGAGTCATACGAATTAAAGCTTTTGGTGACTCTCATTCAAAAACGATAGCTATTTACGGTTTAGAAACTATTACGATAAATACGAACAATAGTGGTAGTTCTTAAACACGCGAAATTAGATTCGGTGGCCCTAAAAACTAGGAGAATGGGCTTGTCGAAGTTCATGTTGTACTTCGTTGCGCGTCTAAAGGGGCTAAATTCATCGGTTACGATGCATCCGGTAGCCATTGACTCATAGGGATCACTGACAATCTTGCACGCGAACTTTACTAGTGAGTTCCAGTGACTAAGGGCGACATTAAAACCTTGATCTCACGTCAGCGCCCTCCTAACATAAATGTTTTGATTTCAGACCGTTCATCGTACAACCCGTGATCGGAAGTAACATGATCCTTTTGGTTATCAACAACGTGTGCTACCCGGAGGATCGGTCGATTCCCTCGCCCGAACTGAACGAGATCGATTACAACATCAGCCTGACCTGTTATCGTGTAGTGCACGACGCGTACCCCCGCCGGCACTACATGAGCTGCATCAACAGAAGCATTCACGTGAGACCCACTTGACGCAGTTTCAAGTTTTTCGACTTCAAAATGTTTCAGGAGCGCGAAATCGAACTGTGCGGTACCGGAAGTTCACTCCGCACGCCCATCGTTATGGTTCTGTTGGCGATTGCCTACCTAGCGGGAAGAATTTCGTAGGAGTTAGTTATAATTTAGATTTCCGTCTGTGATATGTATAATAAAGTTTATGTAATCTTCTAATCTTCAAATACAGTTTAATTCGTTTCGTTTTAATTCAGTTTTATGCAATTCTCCGGGTTGAGGTGTACGATTTCCAAATTCAAGGTACGAGTACCGTTGGCGTAAATGGAGACACAGCCTACATGCTGAAAATACGTTAACTTCGAAAAACCACGCGGCCATTTTTCAATGGCTTTAAACTTTTGTTTTAGCAACTTTTTAACGACAAATTGTCTTGATTGAGTTTTGCTGATTTTGCAGTTTGAGGTTCATTGTAAAATGTAGCGTCACTTTGGCATTTTCCTTCAGCGTGTACACTGGTATTTAGCATTAATGTTCAAATTCAAAGTCCCAGTGTAAATTTTGTGCCGTGTAACAAAAGGTAATGTACTTAGTTTAAATTGTAATTATTCGCTTCATTGTAAATTATGCTCCCTTCAGCTGCGTGTAACTAAGGAATGATTAACTAAGCGTTTTGTGCGTAAGAAAAAATAAGAAAATTATTACGAACGAAGTTTGGTTCCGCAGAACAACCCAAAACTGAAAAGCCAGGAAAGAAAAAAAATACAAAGTGAAACGTCTCAAATTATACAATAGAGATCATGTAATCGAGCCCAATGCAGTTAAACAAATTAATAAAAACGACTTACAAGTGACATAATAAATACAAACGAAAAACATGATCAATCAATTTAGTACAAAAACAAAGAAAGAAAAAAAGATGTTACTTGGCAACTATGTAAAAATGGTAATGGAGACACGGAAACTGAGTAGGTAACGTTATTGTATCGTTTTCGACAATGTAATAAATTGTATCTTTAAATACATTTTCTGCCCCCATTTTAATACCAAGCAATAACATGTACGTACAAAAACCCGGAACGCACATGTTAAATCGTATTTATTGACCAACCCAAGCCACGCTGTAATTTGATCTGCTAACACCCCTAAAAACCATCCGAAAATCGCCCATTCCCTGCATTTCACGCATTTCTAGAAAAAAACTGAACTGCGGGTGTTTGAAATGGTAAACACATGTGGTATTCACAGGACGTTGCTAAGGTTGGGGCATCTCAATCTCCTAGTTTTGTCTGATGTATGTGTTGTAATACCTGGGGAATGGCTCGATTCCATTTTGATTACTCATAGCGTGTATGTAGTATTTACCCCTGTTTAGAGAGGGCTCAAAAGTGTTGTACATAGCTACAGCTATGTATAAATAGTCACTCGGGTGGCCATTTTTAAACGTTGCCGGGTTGACTTTATTTCCGTGTTCTTGTAGTGTAAAGTTAGCGTAGAATCTAGGGGTTAAGTACACTGCACGCTTCACAACAAATGGTACAATGCCGCGTCCAGGGTATTTTAACGTCCTTGATTTAATCGGTCGACTTTTGGCAAGCATGTTTCCACCGATTTGATCCAGTATGTAGGGGGCTTTATTAACAAATGACTACTGTTCGTTTAAGAGTTACAGAATGCTGCCAGTACCGTCTTACCCGATTACACATAGATGGCGCACGCAATAAACAGATGTTAAAGTCACTAGTGACTTTAACAGATGTCAACAAGTTGTTTACGATTTTAATCGGTCATAATCATGAGGTATGACGTAAAATGCAAATTAGTTTAAATGCAAACAACAAAAAAGACCCTCGAGAAGTGAAGAAATGCACGACAACCCTACGCAATGCCTTTACGGGGCTCACCGTCTTCCTCCTCTTCGCTGTGCTTCTCTACGTATGTAAAACCTACACGAACCACATCTTAAAATGGCTCGAAAACCAAGACACTGCAATCATCTACCTCGTGATCCTGATGATGTTTATCATTGTATCGTTTCCGATAGTGATCGGATACATGGGAATGGTAATAACGACGGGTTACCTCTTCGGAATATTAACCGGATTGATCCTAAGCGTATGCGGGGCCGCGATCGGGCTGAGTATCGCCCACAACTCGTTGAAGCGATTCGGACATACGACGCTACGTCCGCTAGTTACAAACGAGACCGCCGCGATGATTTTCAAAGTCATCTCCGGCCCGTCAAGCTTTCGGATTGTACTGTGCGCCCGACTTACGCCCATACCTTTCGGGCTGCAAAATACAATTTTCGCGGTAAGTGACCTATTTAGACCCACCGTCGGTAAAGTGGTTCGATTTGTAGATTAGCAGCGTTAGCGATAGGACGTTGTACATCGCCTCCGTGCTCGGTTTACTGCCGGGACAGACGGTCGGAGTGTACACGGGCTCGTCTCTACGGTCCATGCGAGACGTGCTGGAGAATCACGAAATTTCGACACTCACGTACGTGTTGGCAGCTGTGCAGGTACGGCACGCAGAATGCGAAAGTAGTAAAATGTAGTTTCGCACCCGCAGGTGGTGTTCGCGATCGGACTTTTGGTTTGGTTGGGGACGAAGGCGCGCAAAGAACTTGCCAAAGCAATTTCCGAGGCTGATAATACCAAATCTATTTATGATATAGTCTGACTTGTAAATATAAACAATTTCTATTTTTGAATAAGGCCTTTTATTGTTATCTTTGATTGACATTTGACAGTGGTTATACAGGGTGTCGTGTAAAAAGTGGAATGTGCGAGTAGCATATTCGGATGTGGCGCCATCTGATGGCGAATTTAACCGTTAATTACTGTATTAATATTTACAAGCTTACTCCAAATAAAACAACAATTATGATTTCGAAAAACACTTTTCGTTCGTCCAGAGTTTCTTGTGTTGTTGGATGCAGTAATTCGTACATAATTACGGACTCTTCTGTAAAATTCTACAGCTTTCCCAACAGACCATTTGAGTTGCAAAGAAGAGAAAATTGGATAAAGAAAGTGAGAAGAGTGTAAGTACCCATCTGTTTTGCTATTATTTTACATAGTTTCGTCTCTAGAACGGCCGTTTTGTTGTAATTTTTCTTTTGTGTGCAATAATCCAATTTGAGGTTATGATCAAGCTATTAAAAGGGATCCCCGCGTTAAATGACTTGTAAAACGGCCCCTTGCTCCCGACTTGTGTAGATGGCTTCCTGATATTTTCCACTTTTCACCCACCAAAGAATATATTTAAAATGGTGTTTCTGGAGACGATTCTTGCCAGAAATCGGGTTTACGAACTAATTTGCACGTTTGATTATTTTACTGTTTCATAGTAAGTCTCTATTTAGGAACGAAATTTAATATATTTAAACAATAATGCAATAAGAAAAGAAGCCTGAATTTTTAAAATTCCTGCAAGACATCTGGCTGTAACTACACTGTAATGTAACACGCAACTGACCCAACCTTAATTTCTACGAGTAAATCAGATGCAAATCAAACGTGAAAAACTATACCTACTCTAATCTCTGAAACCGCACGGACTGCTACAAACCACTCATTAAGGCCGAATTTTTATTTAACATGCATGGTAAACAATGCGATCAAAGATTTGTTTCACCTCACGAAATGTCAGAGTCGTTGTGTGGAGGCGCTGGAGTGCAATATTCGCTACTCGCCTATAGTCATCGGTGTATTATGACATCACTAAGTATGTGTGCATAGCATCATTCATCCTTAGAGAAGGAAAGAGTGAGTAGTAATAATAATGATCGTAAAGTAAAGCCCACATTTGTTAATTAAAAATTAAACAAACTTTGGCTCCGAAAATATGGCCGCCCCAGGCTTCAACGCACAGCATTGCCCTTGATAGAATATTTGATTTGTTATTGGGACCAGTGGCGTAGGTTATTTACTTGGATTAAATAAACACAAATGTAAGTGCCCGCTTTGCAATTTGTAGTGTACTCAGGTTCTACGCTAACTTCACACTACAATAACACGAAAATAAAACAAGAATGCCTATTCCCTCCAAAAGCTAACCGGATTCCGCTATCTTGCTTAGACCATACAGTGCCTGTTAATTGCAACTAAAATAAAATACGATCAAGGACATCGCCTGGGTGTATGAGTTTCAAAATAAACGAGTCTGTTCGAAGTTGTCCGATGGCACACGATTTGAGACTGTCAAAGTTAAAATTAACAAACGTCAATTAATTAAAAAAGCAAACCTGCCCATAGTTGTGGACGTATAGGAGATAATGAAGAGTATTTAAAGAATCCCGTACTACCTTAGAAATAGGCAACATACAATACACCTATGACATGTGTTGCATATACTACAATACAATAATATAATATACTCGATGCAACATGGCCGCCGATCTGAACGACTAATCAAAAGATCGACACTATTGTCGCCATCGCAATGCAATAAAGTTACTTAAATATACCCTAAAGCACAGATCTACACATACCCAGATTGCTAACCTTATGCATTTTTTGGGAAACAAATTTAGGTATACTTAAAAGCGCCCTCTATTGCGGAGCAATACAAACATGTACCGTTTAAAACTGTAATATGACGCTTATGGATTTATGCATTAGATGTCGCTGCAAAAAATTTAAAGCGGTAAAGTGTGCATAATTCGAATTCGTTATTTTTGGCATTTGATATTTGTAATCTGTGAATTTATTTTGTGATTTGTTTATAGACACGTATTCAAGAGATCATATATGTATACCTACATACGTATTCCAAATCTTATCGCCGAGGTAAAGAGTGTAACGTTAATTATGGCAGAGATATACATAGTTTTTAAGTAAACCTTTGCGGTTAGCAATCTGTCAAGACCTTTAAAGCTGCAAATAATTTCCGCCAACTTCAAAAAACCTTCACGATTCTTTAAGAAGCTGCCCTATGTTCGTGTGTATCTGTGACCACAGGTACCCGCGCTTAATAACCCCTTTACGACGAATGAGTAACTCCAGTGTTAAATTAAACAATTATGGCTCAGCGTCCCTCCTATCATATCATATCACTGTAATAATATGAATATTAAGGAATTCGAATTGTGCAAACATTAGCGCTTTAATTTTGTGTCAGCGACATCTAACGCATAAATCCATAAGCGTCATATTACAGTTTTAAACGATACATGTTTATACTGCTCCACAATAGAGGGCGCCTTTAAGTATACCTAAATTTGTTTCCCAAAAAATGCATAAGGTTAAGCCCGCTTGACATGGAGCAATAAAAATTGCAATTGCATGCAAGTTGCAAGAAAAATTGCGAAAGGCATGCGCAGTTCAAAGCCAGCTGATCAATTGCTGCAAGAGACTTGCATGCAATTTTTATAGGACCGGTGCTATTTTTCTTGCATGAATCGTGCAATTCTAGGGATAAATCTAGTTGTTTTTGTGGCACCAACCTAGTAAAATACAGCGGCGGCAACTGTGATGCTGAGAGACGCACTCATTACTTGTTTTTACTAATCTTATTTATTCTTGTAATTTTCATGTTTCTTCAAGCAATCAAAATTTAATTTTCATTTGAGGTTAACAACTTTGTTGACAAATCCATATGATTCTTCTGTTGGCAGACATGTGGCAATTGAAATAGAATTGCACCATGTCAAATACCATGCAATGCTTATTGCATGCAAGGATTTGACCTTGCAATTTCTTTCTGCAAGTTCTTGCGCGTAGTATTGCTCCATGTCAAGCGGCCTTTAGCAATCTGTGTATGTGTAGATCTGTGCCTAAAGTCACTAAATATAGAAAGTGCCGCAATCCATTGGGCTCGTGTGTTAGAGAAAGAACGCATGATTTTTGCCCAAAAATGGCGGAAGTTACCAGATTCTAGTAACTTTAATGTTAGGGATTGTTCCACTTGTTTGGAGATATCTGTATATATTTTTATAAAACATGACAGTACTATGAAGTGAGGTTATAAAAAATGACAGCTATTCAGATTTTATTTGTCAATTTTTTTAAGTTGGCAGCAAATTTGCCCAAAAATGGCGGATGATTGCGGTACTTTCTATATCTAGTGACTTTAATATACCCACATAGATATATAAATACCTAGATACAGCCATCCTTAACAAACGTACTTCGGTTTTTAAAAAAACTATCAAGTTAATTTGAGAAAGTATCAAATTGAAGACACACGTGGATAAAGGTGTTATGTCACAGAATGATTATTCTCTAAAAAATGACATTAAAGATTTTAGATTGGAACTTTGTTATTTATTCAATGTCTACAGCTCTTTAAACGTCATATTTGAGACATCATTTTATATTTTATAGGGTCATATTTTACTTTTAAAAAATATTGGTGGGTTGGGAGAAAATGAACTTTGAATGTACATGACACCTTCATTCATGGTGATATGTATAAACTAGTGATACATATAAATGGAGGAAGGTGTTATTTAACCAAAAATGTTTTATTTCCATTATAAAAACATCAATAACAGAGTTGATTTATTATCTTATGTGGTTTTTCTTTTTTTCTTGGGATTGTCTTGATTTTGTTCCAAAATGGTCTCATAAAACCATTTATATTCCTCTTTGACGAACTGTAGTTGTTCACGTAAGTTGTTTAGTTTTTCTGTAGTTAAGCCGCCTCTTTTTTCTGTGTCGTACGGTAACTGTGTTATTACCACTTACCACTCTATGTCCTTTTTTGAGCAGATCGACTTTGTGGAATGAAGTAAAGTCGTCGAAACTTTCTTTGTATTTATAACTACCAAATTTGTCAACCCTGATCCATTTAATACTTGTTCCAAATATGCAACTGCGCAGGAAGTTCTTCAATATTACAAAAGTAATTTTCCATGTTCACACAAACACAATTTTTGGTGCTCGCCCTTTGAATAATGTCACGGTATTGTTCAGGCACGAGGCACGTTTTCTACCTTTCTAAGTTTTTTTTTCTATTCTACCAAAGTTTCGGTCAGAGTCTAAGTAACTATGTCCAACCTCTGGAAATTTATGATCTATTACTTTAAATGATCCATTTAAAATTAAAAGTTGATAAAGGGACACAATGTTGAAGTTCTTGTTTTGGCCGGCACAAGAATCAGACCAAATTATTAAATGGTCAATCTGGTTGTAGGTTTCCTTCAGTAGTTAAGAAAATCTGTATAAACAACTGGCTATCTCAATACTCCCCCGGTTGGCAATGTCTTCAGTCCAATTAAAGAAAAATGGTTTGGATTCATGGCCAATTATGCAATGAATACCGAAATTGTAAAACCACATTTGACGCAAGTAAAATGCTTTACTTGTTGATAATTTGGGCAGTGGCATTGTTTGCTGGAGATCCATAGTTAAGTAACAGATGCTGTTTTCAGTCATTGGCTTCTCTCCGTCTCTCTTTTGGGATGCAAATGCGGCTTTGTAATTTTCAGTGTGCATATCTGTATTTTTTCCAGCATCGCAAACGCTGCATGTATCGCTTCGTGGATATCCAAACGAGAGATTAAATTTTGTGGAAAATATGTTGCTATATGAAGACAACGTTATATGGAAACACTCCTCCAGTCCATCTCTTTTACATTCTTCGAGATACAACTTGTGCATTAGAGTAAATAGAGGCGACAAAACACTTTTTGTAACAATTTTTGTTTCTGGAGTAATGGGATTCTTCGGCTGGAAATTTTTTGATGTGATTTTCAATGCGGTCAATAATATGTTCATTAATTTTGTGTGGACGATTAGCATGACGACCTCTTTTGTCGGGTGTTGGTGCATTTTGCCCATTCTTTCACATCCGTTGTATAAGTTCAATTTTTTTTCGGCTAAACTGATACAAGGAGCACATCGCATCTCTGCAAACAAATTCTGACTTTTGGTTGAAGGTAATGGAATATGTAAACGTATATGTTTTTTGTTTCTTTACGTTTAATCTATGTCTCGCAACAGGTTTAATATTTAAACTTTTGAACAGCAATGCATTTTTCGCATTCATATCAAGACCATAGTATTTTTTTTAAGATTATTTTTTTGTCGTCTAAGTTAAATTTTTCAGTGCACTTTAACCTGCATTTATCCTTGCACAACAATCCAGAGTTTATTTCTTTTTGTGGCACAATCTTTCCTGTTTGAGACAAATATTCTTCTCCCTTTGTCCCGGCCATTGCAGCTTTCCGTCTTTTCCACTGATCCGGATTCCTAAGACGACGTCTCGAAGTCTTCTCTTTTAACTCAAATAACTTCTTCTTCACAGTTTGTCTTTTTACTTCAAAAACCCGGTCTTCTGCTCCTCCTGTGTTTCCCATTTCACTATCAGCAGTAACATGGTCTATGAGTGCAGCATCTTCGGGAGTTTTTGAGTACCTCATTGGATCATTATTTCTTTGCGATAATAATTTTTCACGAATGTTAGTCAGCACCTCATTATCCGAGTCATCGCTTGATTCTCCATCGGGAAAGTATTCGCTCCCAGACGTTGCATCTTCGTCAGTTAAATAATCATCCATATTTGATCTTGATGGTTGAAAACCATAATCGCCTATAACAGTACTACCGTAATACCTAGGTACTCTTAAACCTATTTTTTGTGTTGCATGATGTAGAAATATAGGTAAGTATAGATGTAAATGTTTACCTTTATTCCTATTGGATACATCTGAATTTTCAGGGCGATTGGTGATGTTATCAGTTGAGAAATCTTTACTGGTACTAGGAAAATGACATACCTACTTCTAAAAATGATAAACATATAAAAAGTGTATAGTTATCATACTCGGAGAACTCACCCACATTCTTTTCTAAAACACAAAAGTTGCTCGAAGTACTACTTAAGTTTTCACTCTTATCATTTTGTTTATTCAAATTCAAGCCTAAAATTGTTAAAAAGTAATGGAAACCTGATATGATATAATGCAATCATTTTATTCCTATACCTTCCTGTAGTGTAGCCGGTGGCTGCTTTTGCGTATTTAGAAGCTCTAAAATGTATTTTCCTCTAGACATTATTTTAAAACTGCAAGTACATCATCACAAACAAAGTGCAACACTTTCACAAATCTTTACACATAACCTATTCAAGCGCGATGGTGGAAGTAAAACTTTCTACTAACAGTGGATGAAGGTGTTATGTTTGACGTTAAGTACATAACACCTTTATCCACTGTGGAACCATAAAAACAGTGGAACATAACACCTTCATCATTAAAAATATCAGCTATTCACCATATTTGGACTTCAAACTGATTAACAAATGAAAGAATAGCATGTTTAATATCACTAGAACGCAGAAAGTCAATTTTTAAAAAAATGTTACATGACACCTTTAATCGCACTTGTGTCTTCAATTATGAAAAGATGAAAAGGTGGTGTTTTTATATGTAGAAACCCGAGTAGAAACCATCAACCATTTTCTTACAAACAAATTTCTTTTCAGGTATTGTGCCGTCACTTGTACAGTGTTTTTAACTCCGTCTTTTATATGACGTGTCTTGTAAAATGGACGTGACCGACACACTTCCCGAAACAATAATGGAGAACCCTGAAAGTATTGGTGATCCAGGAGAGACGCCAGAAGACGTACAGACCACTTCAAATGAGAATACAACAGAACCTAAGGCAGATTTTATTACTTCTTTATTGGAAGATTCGTTTAATGAACAATGTGCTTCTGCAGATAATATGTTAATTGGTGAATGTGACGAACCAGCGAGTGGTTTAGAACTGTCGCATCTAGTTGAACAGCCAAAGAGCACAGATTTTTTTTCTATTGACATACAATCGCCAGAAGAGAGTGAACCTCTAAAGGAAAATATGGATGTTGACGAAGAAATTGATACTGCGAAGGAGAAAGACATTGAGGTATCAATAGGCACCACTCGTAAAGAAGTAACGGCTGAAGGTGATGTTGAACAACCGTCCCAAGAGATCACACGGTTACCTGATGAAATAACAGCTTCTGAACCAGAGGAGGTCCCTGTAACAACGGAAAATGTTCCACAACCATCCACAGATAAACCGAACGTTTCTGAATTAGAAAATCCTCCTCCAGAGCCAGTACATGCAGATGACAATATTCAGCAACCTACCGAAATAATACTTACAGTCGATGAAAGAGAAACTACTGAACTCGACAAACCACCACAGGAGATTACTGCTGTAACCGAGGCTGTAACTGTCACTGACCAAGAAACTAATGTTCAGCAACTTCCGACAGAGATCATACTGTCAGATGACGATGAAACAGACGTTTCTGAAGTTGAAAAACCGTCACAAGAGATTACAGACGTAGCAGATAAAGAAGCCAATCTTCAACAAGTGCCCACAGAGATCATACTGACAGACGATGAAGCAGACCCGTCTGAACTCGAGCCACATCCACCCGAGATTGCGGCCATTACTATAGAAGACGATGATGATCATACAAGATCAGACATAGTTTTCCCTAACGAAGAAGCTATGGGGACAGACAACGAAACTGAAAAAGATGAATCTGGAGATAAAGAAACACCTAATGCAGACACATTGATGACTATACCTGAAATAATTTCATGCGTAAGTGAAAGTGGAACCAATGTTGTAGATAGCGTTACATCAGAGGATATACCTACGAGCAGAAAGGAAGGTGAAACCGGTACAGAAGGCATGGAAGTTCAGGAATCGGATACACCAAACGTACCTGCAGAATCAGAAAAAAATTCAGAGGTTACAAAGGATTCTGTAAGCGACGCTGATAATGTACTAGGTGACAGTCTAAATAAGGAAAGCAATAACGCAGATGCTAGTGATGGACAATCTGCTCCAATGGAGACGGACACAGTTTCCGATGATGTGGTAGAAAAAAGCGTAACTACTGGCAATGTAGATACAGAGGAAGTGGACGATTCAGATCCTGTATTTGTGAGCACTGATAGTGAAAAGACCAGTAGTACAGAAAAAACTGCTGCAGGTGAGTATTGCATTCTGTGTATTATTCCAGGCGGTATCGGCAGGGTTGACATGTTTTAAAAAAAGCATACTATGCTGAGAATATAATTTAAAACATTTCTTGGTACTTAAGGCAAAACTTTAACAATTTTGTGGTGGATAATTTACTTATTATCACTTGATCCAGAAACTTATATTTTAAAATTAAAATTTATTTACCACTGTACTGGTCAGATTATTTGAATATTTAAAACCACTCGAATTAATGATTGATGTTGTCAAACCTCACCCAATATTTGCAATTTTGTCAGAAATTAAATACAAATTGTGCAATGATGTCCTGAAAATGACTTCCAGTTATTATGTTTGCCCACCATTATATTTGACGGTACTGGGTTCGTGTAAATAACTGGACATTGAACAAAAGACTATATTAACACATAACTGACGAAGGTAATACAACGTGGTAGGTACATGACTGACTTACGGAAACGGACATGATGCATTGCATTGTTACCAAACTAAACTACAATACTACAATACCAACTTAAAAATATATTCGCGTTCAATACATCACATTTCCTCCCCATGTTAACAATTCAAAGATCTAATTTTTGTGGTGGTTTAATAGTTCGTGTACTACGCCGCAATGGTTCAACAGAAACAACCTCGGCTACAGATTTATCGATTGATACATTGCTATCCGACACTATCGGCTTAACAGGACTAGTAATGTTTGGAGTGAATTATCCACCGGTGTGACACTATCGGTCACTGTAAGTGGTACAAAAGGTACATGATATGTGGAAGGATTCACTTCTACCTCCTCCAAAAAACTTTTTCGTAACGAATTTACATGCTTATACATAATTTTGTCTTCCACTTTGACCAAATACGTTACTCCACTTACAACTTTCATAACTACACCTTCCTTCCATTTCACATTACTACCAGGACCCAATCCACCTACTAACACTTTTTCTCCAACTGTAAAAATTGGTGGACTATTAAATTTTTCCGGTTCTTTTAAAATGATCGCAGTGTTATTAGTTGGTTTGAGCATGTCCAATCTAGTTCTTGGTTTAAATTTAAACAACCACTCGTTTGGACTTTTACCTGTTGAATTAGGTGTGTTACGGTACGAAAACAGAAAATTTATTACTTGCTGTTCTATGCCTAAACTAGAATCTACCCTTATAAATTTATAAAGAGCATGTTTGACACTTCCTATGGTTCTTTCAGCTAGCTAATCCATTGGATTGGGGGTGATATGGTGGTGATTTTAAAGGTTGAATACCATTTACTTGGCAAAATTTTTGAAATTCTCCCGAATTGAATGGGGGTCCATTATCACTCAATACAATTTGGAATGCCTAATATTGAAAACGTCGATTTACATTTTTCAATCGTCTGAACTACATCTGTGCCCCTCATCATGGCATGAATATCTACCCATTTAGATTTGCTGTCAACAATTAATAGAAAGGTTTTGCTTTTAAAATGAAAGAAATCAATATGAACTCTTTGTCATATACGAGGGGTTGACCGCTGGGCAAATGTGGTGTACAGTCCCGAGGAAATGATGAGCAAATGTAGCAAATGTTGGGTAAATGTAGCGAATGTTCAGGAAATGTGGCAAATGTTAAGGAAATGTAGTAAATGATGAGGAAATGTAGCAAATGTTTAGGTAATGTGGCAAATGTTAAGGAAATGTAGAAAATAGTTTAGCAAATGTTTAAGAAATGTAGTAAATGTTTATGAAATATGACATATCAATGCGAGTATCAATGATTTGTAAATGTAAAGATAAATGTATATCAGACGCTTACAATTCGTGAAAATTATGCAAAAAAATGTGTTTTAACATTCGTTCATGTAGTGCAGTCGTAAATCATGTGCTAGAGTCCTTACCCTATACACCGAAAAAGTAATAGAATGATTGTTACATTTCGATTGCATACATTGCTTTTTTTGTTTTGAAATTTAAGAATCTCGGAGAGACTTCATTTCGAGTTCAATTGCAAAGATTATTGTTTGATACATAATCACAAATTTTTATGAATTCAATCGGATTAATAGAACAAAATTCTTATGGGAATTTTTACTTAGATTAAGTACAGTCAAGAAATACGACAAAGGCTATAACAAAATGTGACTTAATTGATTTTAAATGTTGTGATACACCTGCTCAAATTCAAAAGTTCAAAGAAAATGCCTACGGCTATGTGTAGTCCAAGCTATTTTCGAGAATAATAAGAATTGAAAAGGAAATATTGTTCTACGAATTATTTTCATTTTTATGAAGTACATAGCAACAAACATATATGTATATATGGCAACAAATAACAGTCGTAACGAGGTCGGAAATAAAGGTGGTTTATTTATGAATAGCATTTAACAGTGAGTCACCATGCCTCGCTCTATGCTGTGCATTTTTACTGCGATAGCATTTTCTTGAAGTATCAGTCTGACAATGAACTTCGTTCTTCATTCATAAAGTACCCTTATTCCCGTTTTTATCGTTGAATGCGCGGGTGGGTGTGCTCGTAAGTGTAACAAACAATGGCGGTAACAGCAAATATTGAGACAATCTCTGATTGGGGAGATACGGAGGATACATTTATCAATTCCATTGAACAAAAACTAGAAGTCCAAATTCCTCTATTCTTAAAAAATATAGTAAAAGTGTCCGGTTTAGCAAATAAAATCGGGATTAAAAATTTATCAGAGGACGATATTAATAGGCTAGAGGAGTTTGTAAAAGGCGAACTTGTCGACTTGATCGATAAAGAAGAGTATGAAAACTATTATGGGCCGTTGTTTAAGAAGAAGCCTACAAATTTTAAATTTCTTATGGGACACAGAAAGTTATTACTAGCCATGAGTGAATCACAACGTGAACTAACTACAACTACGTCTCAGCAACAAAATAAACGCAAAGTCAAACCTAGCCGAGAACCCAGCATTGCTTCGACGTGCAACAACACAAACCTTCAAATGGCTGAAAATTTATCAAAATATAGTACCAAAATAAAACAAAAGATTGTGTCTTGGGTTTTGTTACTAAAAAAAGAGAGCAAAATCACAGAAGATGAAGAACGAGAATATACCACTAAAATAAAAAGCATAGAATACCAGTGTTCACCAGATGACGACGATTTTATTTGCTGTTATATCCCATGTTTCATTTGCGATGCGAAAGTAAAGGTATGCATTGCTTTTGTACGCTCGATTTTATGATTGGTATTTTATCTTAGCACTTAGAAATCAATTCCTGCATTAGATTTGTTAAAATTATTTTATGTATAAAATTTTGCTTTTGCTTAAATACGTCAGATATGTCAGAATCTATCTCAACATGTAGTTACTACATATATATCAAGTATTATCGGTATTACCCTCTGTAATATCATATGTACTAGGTAGAATAATGCACTCTGATTGACGAGAATTTCGTATACATAAAATAATAACAATTTTTAACTCTTTCCGAGACTCTTTCGATCTCATATAAAACGCTCACTTTGTAATGTCCAGATACCAATTACAGTTTTTGGATACTTTGACACAATTCCAGCGCAGCGAGGATTTTTTTAAAGTATCCTTGGAGTGTAATGTGTATCTGAACATTACTAAGGTACAGAACTATAAATATATAACTACTTGGAATACATTATCAACTTGTGCCCGGCGCCTGTTAACGTGTACTACTTCAATTTTAGGTGAAAAAACTGCCTAAGAATCACAACACCCATTGGTCTTTTTCGAATTTTTATCAACATGTTAACAAACATTTGAAAAATAAGGACTCAAATAAAGATAAATTCCAGGATAACTCTAAGCCAAAATCTAAGCGCACGATTCGCCAACCCACACTACATACATTCTGTTCTGAACCGTCTACTAGTTCTTCCTTTATACCCACCATCTCTAGAGTAGATGAGAAAATAGGTGAAGACGCACAAGAAACAAGATCAGATGTTGAAGTCGTAGTATCTGCTGTCTTATCATCAGAAGAAGAGGATGAAGATATCATTCAACCAAGAAAAAAAGCAAACAAGCAAATAATTTTATCAGACATTGAAAGCGGTACCGAACAGGATTTTCCTCGGGATTTTCAAACAGACGGAATTGTACATGAAGGGGCTTACAGTTCTGTTGAGCAATCGTTACACCAGCCCCAACAACAACCGACTTCGGTCCTTGTTGAAAACAAGTGGTTATCTCCGAAATACTCGCGCTGTGAAAGAAATCGACGTGGCCGCGAAAATTCTTTTGATGATGAAAAACAGCTGCTTATAACCAATTTTTATAAGCCACTAAAAGACATTGAGAAGGTGTTAATCGAAAATAGTCAATTAAAAGAAATAATTCAAGAACAAGCCAAAAAGTTCCGATTATTGGGTGACAAGGTTGGCGGTGCATCGTTAACGGGAGCTCCTGTGTCAATTTTTTTAAATATTATGCTTGATACAGCTGCTGCCAATGCTTCCAAAACGAAATCAAAAAACAGATTTGACGAAAGTGTAAAAAAATTCTGCTTGTACCTATTCTTAATTGGAGGGAGAATGCTATACGAGACATTATATGCAAATTTGAAAAACGTTATTCCTTCAATAACAACTTTACACCGTTCTATTACTAATTCAAATATACAAGAAGGGGAATTACGCTTTGCAGATCTGAGAAGATTTCTTGATAGTCGTGGATTGCCAAGCGTCGTGTGGATAAGCGAAGATGCGACAAAGATTACAGGGAAAATAGGATACTCTTCACACAATAACTTGGTGGTTGGATTTGTCATTCCACAGCATAATGGATTGCCACGTGAGAACTACTTCGAAGCAACTTCGGCACGAAGAATCCAACAGATCTTTGTGGAAGGAGAACGAGCTCAATATGGGTACGCAATCATGGCCCAATGTCCAATTGATAAAACCCCTTCGTTTTGTCTTAACATTTTCGGTACTAATAACAAATTCACGCATAATGATGTAATACAGCGATGGGAACAAATGAAGGTATCTGCACGTCGGTATAACATAGAACTTTTGGGTTTCTCGTCAGACGGGGACACGAGGTTGCTGAAAGCGATGCGGCTCACAACAAAACTTTCTAACCAGGTAACAGAAAAGTGGAAGTGGTTTCACATGCCATTAGATACTGGCAATATTTGCACTCAGGACACAGTTCACATCGGAACAAAATTAAAAACGCGTTTAATCAATCAAAAAGTCACGCTCGCTCTTGGAAATTTTATAGCATCATCGGATCATCTTAAAACTCTAATTGAGACTGTGTCTAAAGATAAACACCTTCTGACCTTAGGAGACCTAAATTCACAAGACAAAATGAATTTCCGATCTGTTGAAAAAATTATTGCTCCTAAAGTGTCTGAACTTCTTAAAAAAAGTGTTCCAAACAGCGAAGGAACTGTTGCATATCTTAAAATACTCAGATCTGTACTTGATGCTTTTCTCAGGAAAGACCTTAGTCCTGTAAGGCGATTGCAACTGATTTGGTATGCGGTCTTTTTTCTTCGTATATGGAGGAGTTGGGTAAGAAATTCCGAGTCATACACAGTGACTGAAAATTTTATAACTCTCAATGCGTACTTGTGTATTGAAATGAATGCTCATGCCCTGATTAAGATCATCCGAAAATTTAGGGAAGAAAAACTTGATACGGATTTTGCCACTTGGCTCTTCAGCTCTCAACCATGTGAGCAAATTTTTCGCGCTACCAGATCACTCACGTCAACGTACTCTACGATAGTTAATTTTAGTTTAATGGAAATGTTGAACAGAATTAATAAAATAGAGACTATTGTAAGTATTATGAGTGATTTGCGCGATACATTTGTATTTCCACGGGAAGGGTCATCTAGAATGGGAACTGCACATAACTCGATTGGTATTGTGTTCCCTTGTGATGAAGAAATCGAGTCAGTATGTATGACAGCATTGCAAGAGGCGATAAATGATTGCAAGTTATTGGGTATATATAACGATCGAGATAACGATGATACTCAAAACCTTTGGGAACAAATTATGATATTTGACGGGAGTATTGATTCACAACCGTATAAATTACAGGATCCAGATGCATTGGATTATCATTGTGTTGACTTAAATTTGTCAGAAGAATTTTCATATGAACCGGCTACGAATGATGTGTTACGCCAATTTGTTGACCAACAGGATGATAGCGAAACAAGCGAGGATCAAGAACAAGATGATGACCATAGTGATTCCTTAATCAACTTCCAGGATTTGAATTTCGCTGACGTTCCTGTTGAAGAACCAATTCATGAAAGAAGCCCCTATGTCAAAATCAAATGCCAAAATGGTCAAATTAAAACGATAAGAAAGAAAACATTGTGTTGGTTTTTGGACGATAATGTGAAAAGGTATTTAATGTGGCAGTTAATTAGTATCATCTAATCTAATACATTCTATTACCTTTTAGGTTGAGTTCTGATCGTCTGCTGCGCGTTAGAGCAGATCAGAATTATAACAGTCGCAGTCCGAGAACTGAAAGTACATCTGAAACTCACCCACTTAAACCGGTTTTAGAATCATATTATGCGGTATACTATTCCGAATCATGGTATATAGGTCGCGTAATAACCCAGTCTGAAGATAAATGTTACAAAATCAAGTTTCTCCAGTCTCAACTCAATACATTCATATGGCCTAAAGATGATGACGTACAAACTGTGGACCAACAATACATTTTTTTTGGTCCAATAAAGATGATCGGAACAAATAACATGACAATCTCAGAAGAAAATCGTAACGCCATAAAAAGGAAATACAAATCAATTAAAAAAATGTATAAGTAATGTTGTTTATTCAAACTATTTTTAAATTGTGTATGTTTTAAGTCAAAAGTAAACTTTGATTTGTAGTTGGGACAATATTGTATATTGTGTGTTTAACCTGTTCCAAAGCTCACAAAATAAGAAAATATATACCCAGGTAATATTTCAATTACCAAATGACCCGCGGAAATGCTTGTACATATTTAACTGTATGTAGTACCTAAATGATGAGCAAAAGTAACAAATTTCTGGTAAATTTATAGCGAATGTAGTAAATGTTGTGTAAATGCAGTAAATGTGGCAAATTTCTGGTAAATTTATAGCGAATGTAGCAAATGTTGTGTAAATGTAGTAAATGTAGCAAATTTCTGGTAAATTTATAGCGAATGTAGCAAATGTTGTGTAAATGTAGTAAATGTAGCAAATGTCTGGCAAATGTAGCAAATGTGGAAAATGGCAAATGTGGTGTACACAATTTTGCCCAGCGGTCAACCCCTCGGTCATATATATATTTTCTGTTTTAGGCCAAGATATTAAATTAGTTTCACGAGCATTGTTTTGTGACTCTTGACATATGCGACATTTGTTTATTGATTGCTCTAGTTCCTCATTTAAACCTGGCCACCAAACAGATGTTCTCATTTTGGATCTTACGATACCCACATGATCAGCATGAATTAGTTCCAAAACTTTTGACTTCAACACCTCCGGAATTACTACTCTATTACCAACCATAACGCAATTTCGTTCAACTGATAATTCCCCTCGTTTTAGGAAAAATGGTTTTATTACAGGATCTTTGATCTGGTTTGGCCAACCTCTTAGGATAAAATCTTTAACTTTGATCAAGATTTGATCTTTTTCTGACATTTTACCTATTTCTACGCTAGATAATGGTATTTCATTTCCCGTACTAAATGAATTTATCGACGACTCCACATTAGTAGGCTCCTTCAATGGTAAACAAGAAAGAGCATCTGCTTCTTTCAAGTCGACCCCTTTTTTATACTCAATACTATAATCGTATGCGGACAACATTACATTCCACCGAACTATACGTGAAGCTGACATTACTGAAATTCCCTTTTCTGGATTAAAAATGACTTTTAAGGGTTTATGATCTGATACTAGAATAAATTGCCGTCCGTAAATGAATTTGTGGAATTTTTTTATTCCGAAAATTATGGCTAATGCCTCCCGCTCTATTTGAGAATAATTTTTTTCTGCTTTTGATAGCGTCCCAGATACAAAAGATACTGGTCTATCTACTCCGTTAATACGATGACTCAAAACACTACCGACCCCGTATGAGCTGGCATCACTTGATATTACAATTGTTTGTGTTGGATCATAATGTACCAGAACCTGGTTTTGTTCAATTAGCTTTTTACTACGCTCAAATGCATTTTTACATTCCTGTGACCATATAAACTCTGTATCTCTTTCTAATAATGAATACAAAGGTGACAATTTTGATGATGACATCGGCACAAATTTTGCATAATAATTTAATAAGCCAAGATATGCCCTTAATTGAGTTACATTTTCTGGATTTGGTGCCTCCATTATGGCTCGTACTTTTTCTGCTGTAGGATGAATTCCCTCTTTGTCAATACAATGACCTAAATACTCCACACTATTTTCAAAAAATTTACATTTTGACAAATTTACTTTGACTCCGTATTTTTCCAAACGATCTAAGACTTGACATACTAACGAATAGCATTCTTTAAAATCCTTACCAGCTATTAAAATGTCATCTAAATAACAATTCACCTTAGGAATTCCCACTAAAATCCTATCCATGACTGACTGGAATATGGATGGAGCACTCGTTAACCCAAATGTTAAACGTGTATACCTAAATAGACCCATATGTGTGTTTATTGTGAGCAGTTCTTGAGAACACTTATCGACTTTTAACTGAGAATACGCTCCCGTTAGATCAAGCACAGTAAAAACTTCACCACCTGCCAATGATGAAAAAATATCATCCATGGTTGGCAAGGGATATTGTTCAGCAATTAAAACTTTGTTCACCGATATTCGGAAATCGACACATATCCGTACATCTCCATCCTTCTTTTGTACAACTACGATGGGTGAAGCCCATTCACTATTTGTTACTGATTCAATGATACCTGTTTTTACTAACGCCTTTAATTTATTTTCTACCTTTGGCCTTAATGCGTATGGCATGTTGTAAGCTTTTTTAAATATTGGTTTCACATTGTCTTTCATGGCTAGCTTAATTTCAAATCCTTTAATAGGGGTGGTTAAATCTGAGTTAAACACTGACTTGTACATTTGTTTTAAATTTTCAACTTGACTACAAGAAAGCGCAGCTAATGTAAAATTACCTTGCCATCCTGGAAATAAGATATTTAACCAATCTCTGCCTAACAAAGGCATAAAATTCTTTTCAGATTTGACTATAGTTAAAGGTAAGACATACTTCTTCTTCCCTTTTACAACTTCTACCTTCTGTTCCCCTACTGCTTTTATAACTTGACCTGTGACTGAGCTTAAATTATACGACACTTGACTCAAATAACATCCACTTAGCTTATCATTGAATACATCTACAGACATAACAGTTTTACATGCCCCTGTATCGACTTCAAAACATATCATTCTATTAGACACATTTAATTTCAATTTGTGAGGCAAATTTTCTGTACTTATACCCTTAACATTATTTAAAGAATACAAGTCTGTATTGACTTGGACTTGCTGTTGACTGGATTCTCCTTGCGACTCCTCCACTGCTTTTATCTGCCCCTTACTCCGACAAACTTTGGAAGTGTGTCCTCTCTTTCTGCAGACGAAACATTCCCACTGGGCTGCCGGACACAAATTTGGGTTGTGGCTCCTGCCACACCGATGACATGATCTTGTAAACTGCTTAGACTGTTCGGACTGCTGGATTGTTGACGGTTTACTGCCTGACTGCTTACTTGATGACTGTCTTTTATTTGACCCCTTTGTATTATATGACACTCGACTGGATTCTGTTTTCTGCTATGTACCTCACCTGCCGACAATAATTTGACTTGACTTGCTGCCATTTCATGCGCTTGTGCCATGGTGCATGCTTTTGCAAATGTTAGCTCCCGTTCCGCTAAGAGTTTTTTTTGTAGGGCCTCCGAATATAACCCACACACTAGCCTGTCACGTAACGCTTCTTCCAAAAAGGCCCCGAACTTGCATGTGTTTGACAACTGTTTAAGTTCCACTATGTACTCTGCGACTGACTGATCTGACTTTTGATTACATTTGTTAAACCTAAACCGTTCACTTATCTCCGATTTTTCTGGTACATAATGCCCTCGTAACACGGTAATCACCTGCTCGTAACTCTTCTCTGCTGGATTTTGTGGTGCCACCACATTTTTTAAAGTACTATAAACGACTGGACCGGCTAGTGTAATAAACCACGATACTTTCATCTTCTCCTCTACGCAATTCACTAAAAATAGGTGCTCGACACGCTCTATGTACATTTCAAACTCCTCTGCAGGAAATGCTCGATTGAGCCGATTAGCGCCATCCTCGTCGCCACTATTATGTTTGCCCACTATTATATTTGACGGTACTGAGTTCGTGTAAATAACTGGACATTGACCGAAAGACTCTATATTAACACAAAACTGACGAAGGTAATACAACGTGGTAGGTACATTACTGACTTACGGAAACGGACATGATGCATTGCATTGTTACCAAACTAAACTACAATACTACAATACCAACTTAAAAATATAGTCGCGTTCAATACATCACACCAGTATGTCCAGTATCTGGATATTTCAATACACCAATTATTTTTGTACTTACTCGAATATTCAAATAACCACTCGAATACATAAATTTAAAAATTCCCAGTCCACCTACTTATTCAATAAACCATTCAATGGTGAGCAATAATATTTATTTCACATCCAAATACATAACTTGTTATATAATGTTAATTGTGTGTATTTTGTATCAGGACTTGGAAACAATCATGAATTTCAAAAATCAAAAATTAACTATCTTTTTAAATGATTAAAATTACAATTTTTCGTAAAATACTTTCCCTAATGGTAAATGGCGTCATCCTCTTGGTTATCACTGCTGCCTACAAAATACTAAATTGGTATTTTTAGTGCTGATTCCTAATATGGATCTAGTGATCATTAGAATGCTGGATTTTGTTTGGGTAGAATGAGGGTTGTCCCCATTCTGACAGGATCATTAAGTTCCCCCCCACCCCCACCTCACCCATAGAAAACTGTTTCCCGTATCTAGAAAACAATTGCTCATTACCGAGCTAATTACTTATCTATATTGTTGCCGAGATTGTTGCTAATTATTTACAGCAGTAAATTAAAAGTGTGATGAGTGCGGTTACTTTCTCATTAAGTTAGGCCCACCCAAAACAAAACTAAAAGAATTTGGTGTGAAATAAGAGTGACTATTCTAACTAGAGCCGATGCCATCTTCAAGGAGTCGTCCAGTGTGGGTGTTGATTTCTTTCTCTTTATTTATATTTATTTGTTATCTGTTTGTTCCATAATTCTTCGGGAAAATGGTCTTTACCTGTCTTTCCACTATAATTGACAATTTGTATATCACCAAATTTGTTGCTAAGTAACGATAACCAAACATAATACCTACTTACTGCACTAGATAAACACAGATTGTAATCTTATATAAATTTTGTTCGCAGCGTCTTAAATATTTTCTTTGCGAAAATAGTATGCAGACACTTAAAATAACAAATACAATGTCACCTAAATTTTTTGCACATTTTAATAATAAAAAATGCTTCCTGAGTGCATAGATTAAAAAAACAATAAGTACGCATCGCAATGTAAAATTTAACAGCGCTTCACTTAGTTAAGTTGCGAATAGACAGCGCATGATTGATAGAAGATTGTTTTAGAAATCACTGCGATTGTGACCTGTTAAAGGAGCGCGTCGTTACCTTTAAACCATCCAAACCATACCGATGCCTCCCCCTTACTTTTTTGGTAGTTGGCGTAATATGAAACTCAGTTGGTAAATTTGTAATGGCAAAAAGTAATGCTTGTTTAGTGTTTATTTTTCCGTAGGGAATTCCAAGGCATATTTGATTTATTGTAAAATGAACTTTTTTATTTTGTCGATTTCTACGGTTTTGAAAAATGGAAAGTTATAACTAATGGTATGGAACAGATGCAGTATTTTTTTCTCTAAAAAAAAACGTATTTAGACTTTTGATCTAAAATAATTAGGGGAGCTAGTAATTGACTATAAAGAAATTACCATTGAAATCCCTATGCTGCGTCGCGCTAGGCACCACCCTGTATATTAATGTAGAAGACGAATTTAGTTTCTGCTGATCAGGCTAGAATAATATATTTTGGCAAAAAAAATTATTTCCCGATCCAAATAGGTTTTTTTACGTAGCTAAATTAATCTAAATCAGAGAAAAATAATAGCTAAATTGTGCACAACTCTTGTGCAGATAAAACGCATTTTTTTAAACCGAAATAGCTTTTGTTTTGACATCACCAATGGATATATTTCTTGCAGACGTCTCAATCGCCCTTTGTGAGTAACCTCTTCCGACAATCCGTTCTTCAGATATAAGGGAATATACCCGATCACGATAAGAGGTCGAGGAGGAGGGCTATGGTTGGTAGAAATTAATTCCTTTCATTGAGACCTTTCTTTAGAGTACTATGAAGAATAAAACTAGTTCCACTTCCCCCCACCCTGTAC